GTCGGAGTTGTAAGATGAGACAGCATGCGGCTACCTCACACTAGTACCAAGTTATGCGATACTTTTAATGTTCTCCTTTATCATTCTTGACACTAATAAAATTATACTTTATATTTTTTCAAAGCTATTATTATATATCAAACGTTATTACAACATCAATGTACGTTGCAAATACGGCCTTAGACATGTCATATGACTGTGGCATATGATGACTGTGGCACTATTTGACATCTGTCAAATTAATTTCTTATCAAAATGCACAGAAGAAAAATATTACAATCGCAAATTGAGATAACGAATACTTGAAGGAGATAATTTAAGCGGAGAAATCATTATCTGACTCATTATTGTTGTTAAGTACAATTAACAGTATATTTTTTTTAATTTCAAACATTTCAATGCCTTATAAATATATAATTTAAAAAAAAATCGATCCAACAAAATGAGTTATTCAACATTATAGACAGTAAATAAATGGTGTCATTGAATATATATCATAAGAAGAAATAAAACAATTGCCTTCATTAATAATAAAAAAAAATATGAATAACAATTCAATGAATAATAGGGATTTGATTTATAACATTGGATTTAAATGAGGCAGATAGAAATAATTGAGAAATCATGAGCACGACATCCAATTGCAATTACCTAGATATCTTTTTTATTTATTTTATCAAAGAATATCGTGGAAAACATTTTTTAATACAATTCAAAACCAGATCGAAATAACATTTATGTTATTCGGATAGTTAAAAGTTTAGCTGAAAGGAAACTAATATTTTCGGATTTAATAAACTACATACTGCCGACGATTCGGCTACTTTACAGCAACCGTGATTACGGGCAGACTAAGTTTATCTGAGTTAATTGTTTAAAGTTAAAAAAACAATTATATAACATGTTTAATAACAAAACTATATTAAATGAAACGTTCTTTCTCCTGCATTATGATCAAAATCACTGAATGTAAATTACAAAACGCTTATCAATTTAACGAATGTTCCACCTAAAGAGGCATTGTTGCAATAACCGATGTGCAATTACTTTTTCATACAACATTATTGTTCCCGCGAAGTTTAATGTTCGTTTGTATGAGATCTAACCGTTAACTCATGAATAATAAGAAGCAAACGCTGAGACCATTAACATGGTGTGTTTTTCCTCAAGTCTATGATTATTTCTAGTAAATCGGCTGCTTCTTGCTATTACCCAGTGTTTTACAAAGTTAGCGGCCAGACTATAAAGTTTTTCACTGTTCATCATCAAATCGCTTTCCACATCATTACGTACCATACCCGGCGGTTTATTAACCTTTGGAATTAAAAAACATACACGTCTATATGTAGAATTGAGTTTGGTATAATGTACATAGCTAGATAATGACTTAAGATTTAAGAAACTAATTAATTCTTAAGGAATGGCAGCAGTATAAAATTGAATAATAATAATCTTTAATCTAACTACATATAAAATTCTGTTGAAACAAAGCCACCATAGTTTCGTAACACTGTTATCTTATTCGTTTTAAAGAGTTAATTTTTTTAACATGCCACACGTAATCTTATCCGATTTCCTCTTAGAAACTACCGAATAATTAGTCATACAAATTAACACAATTTCAATGTTTCACTAAAAACTATACAATGTGTATGAGGCGTGTTACGATAATTATAATTGATAGCGTTTCTCATTCACTCGATTATATTAAATGGAGTGAATGTAAGCTGTTTCCCGCTTTGAAACAATAACGATAATCAGATGGCGGCTTCTCGAACAATGACACTGCCATTAGTATGGTGTCCATGATACATGCCCATTAAAACACTTTACGTATTATATGAAGTCTTTGTTGGAAACAATCATATTATAAATGGGAAAATTTGTAAGGTTGTAATGTTATTCGTTACTCTTTAAAGCAATAACCTTTCAATTAATGATCGTTTAAGTTTTCAGCCATTTTTATTCAATTTCGGAAGACATTTTGATTATAACTGATAGACATTGTGATTTTTTTTGTGAGTTAATGACATCTTTACTCTTTTCCGCGGGCAAGCTAGCCTGGTTTGGTCCAGACTAAATTATTTTTATGGTCCTAACTAATAGAGGAATAAAATTCATTATTAAATATATTTTTCCTGTGAAATAAACAACAGTAATAAAAGGTTATTCATCATATTTTCATTACAATAGCTTGATAAGTGCAAAACTCGTGGTTATTGTAGATTTTTAACCGACTTCTCACGAGACTGTTATACTGTTAACCTAACTACCTGTAAGCGTTGCATGCATAACACTTAAAATTAAAAGTTATTGTTTAATATAATGCGTGGGAATATTTAATTAGATAAGTGGAATAAAAGGAAATAACATATTATTTCCGATGAAAGTGACGCTAAAAATAACAATTGGCTTCATAAATAATGCGGAGACATGTCAGTCAGTGTACGATGTGAATAACGACTATAAAAACATAATATTATTAAAATAACTTACGAGCAAAAACCATGTGTGAAGTGTGTAGTCAGTAGTGGTTAAATACGCAGTTTTTGTTGTACTTACGTTTAGAACTTATAGCTTAAATAAAAACTGTGAAGGGATATCAATCAAGCGATAATAAAACATTTTCTCTATATAGAGATTATAGGATAACGATATGTACAAGTCAAATCAATAAAAAAATTATAATTAGAAACAGAGGTTGTAAAAAATATATTAATAGGCTATTGGGAAAACACACAGAAATTGGTTCCAAGCTATTTAAAACGAATTCCGTAGTCATGGATTAGTTTTGAACGAGTTTGACGGGAGCACGCCCCGCTACCCGCCATGTGCTAGCGACTACCTCGAACACTCATTAATGAGTTATAAAGCAAAAAAAATATGTTCTATACAATACCCATGACTCGTCGCTCCACGATCAATTATTAATAAAAAGCGGGCCGCTTCATTGAAAGGGCGATTAGCTGAATATTTATATGGAATATTCGGTATCAACGGCTCTTTGTGCTCGTAATTCGGCGGTACATGACTAAGCGGGTTTGACGAAGCACCAACGCACGGACCAACTGCTTCACACGTATGGATGTAATGAATGGATTATTAAAATAGTTATAAAACCAATTTTATAAATTATTATCTATAAATATTGCATTAACCATGAATAATAACCACATCTGACGTAATTTATTTATTAAACAAAGTGGAATTGAAAATTCTACTAAGTTACGTAAAATGAAATATATGTAGTACATACATACTTAAATTGATTATTCTTTTTTATTTTTAGTTCTGTCATGATGAAAAATTATATATTTACAAGCCATTAAAACAATTTTTAAAGTATACAAGACGCAACAAACACATAAATCTATCATTATTTCGTTCATACAAACATATGATGTGTTTTTCCGCTAGTGTTATTTAAATGTATGAAATACGGAACCCTAAATATTGTTGTAACGTCTCTATCGAGAGAAGCCCACCAGGTTTGATCATCACATAGGTACTACCGAATTGAATAACTCTTTCAATAGAATTCTAGTGAGTGAAAGCAGAACTATAGCGGCGTAAATTGTCTAATCTAAATCATTTTCTCGTACATCAATCAAACAGCCGTCTCGGATATGAAGCCGCCGAAATTAATGTTTTCACTTTTATGTTTTGTAACACAATATTTCTATTTACGTTAAAAATTAACACTTAAATAGTAATTTATGATAGAACGTTAATTCTGCCAAACTTAATTCAAGTATTAATGGATAATTTAGGTAGTAGTTCTCTGGTATAGTTTAATAAAACTAGACTTTTTTGTAGTCTAGTGCTTACGAGTCATCTTTGTCCAAATAAACTTCTAGCATTCTAATTTTCATTCATAGATTTTAATATATATATATACTATTAGGCTCGTAAACATTTTAATCTATAACTTAAATCTTATTTGTATTATTAGACAATGATCAAATCAGAATATATTGAAGCATAAACACAGCACTATATCAGTGATTCCATATTAATAAATCGATTAAATGATTTGAATAACATAAAATAAAGTTTGTTTTCGCATTATATATATCTGACAGAACAATTTTTCAGTGGAGTTGATGCTAATGAAAGGCATTTTCACGAGCTTTGGCGCCGGCCGGCATGCAAATGTGCTGTTAAATCATGCGTGTAGCTACGCAACACAACTATACTGTGTACAAAAACAGTAAATACGTACTATATAACATCGCTTGTTAAGTCCGTACATTTAAAAACTAAATGTAACTTACGATAACTTTTTACTTATTGTGTGTAGAATAATTAATATCTAAGTATCAGTTCACTAAGTACATGTAACAAAGATATTTTATAGAATTATTTATGACATTAGGTGGTTATTGAAATCTTACGGACTATTTAAGTCGATGAACAAAATCCTTTCTTTACAGCAAAAATCATTTAGCTTTAACTCACAGAGTATATTAAAATCTCTATAATAGATATACTCGTAGTAATATTCCCAAACATTCATAACGTTCCTTACACTTAATTCTCTGTATAATCAACTAATTTGTCATCGTCAGTCCTCCGTACATTGTCAAACCTGGCTTAAAGGACAAGATTACAGCATGAAAGCGCTCAATACACTTTTAATTTTTCATTATGCAGCAATAAAAACATCATAAAAAAAAACTCGTCGAGACTAACAAAAAAACCGCGAGATGGGGAGAAATTCGCAAATCATCCCGTAATGATGACCGCTTGATATATATATATAAAAAAATTTAAATATCAAAAGCCCGGACGAGGCACGTTAATGGTTTAAAATCATTTTTCATTCGAGTCACTCTCGAATCAGAAATGGAAACGGTAGCCATCGGCCCTCCCATTAATCTCGAGTCGTTCATTAGCGGTCGGCGTCTTTACTCATAATTAGTTTATAAATGGGTAAATTAAACATTTTTATATATAGATATATATTTTATTTACATTCCACATATATGTGTCTTTTAATATCATTGTTTCTTCTTTTTCTTGTGACTGTATGTATCTACTGGAGGCAGACCGCTGTCGTATTCGCTGGCCGTGTGCATGGAGCTCTGTTTGTTGAGTATTTTATTACCGAAGGCACCCATTTTCAGTTTGTCGAATCTGTGGACAAATTAATATTAAGACAAACCATTACAAGAGAATATATAATGAGTTGAATCGCTATAACAATTTGTGAACAACCTGTAGATGTACTAATAGCATACATATCTTTTATATTATAAACACAATTTAGAGAATATTCAACAACTTACAACTCCATCGAATATGAAGATAAAATTTCAATAAAATTACGTACATTTTTTATGTTTATATGGAAGAAAAAACTGTGCTTACATTAAAACAACATTAAATTATATGATCGAATAGAACGAAAATCATTTTCAATCTCAAAATTAAAATGGCGCCAAATTACATGTACCTGTCAAAAAACTATCATAAAACCTTCCTATTTCTAAACTCACGATTTCTTTGAAACATTAAAAATGAAATTTCTTCGCTAGACTGGATTCAACAATTTAAATATGGAACAGTTCCAGAGGTCAATGAACTTCTGGAACTATCTTTATATATATAATTCTTCTGTGAGTGTGTATGTCACTGAACTTCTCTCAAACGACTGGACCGATTTTGATGAAATTTTTTGTGTGTGTTCAAGGAGTCTGGGAATGGTTTACATTCACAATTTTGTCCGCTGGACAATGTGTTTTTTAAATTAATTTTTAATTTATTAGTAGTTGTTGATACAAACTTTTTTTTACCATTAGATTTGACAACTAACTAATATGTCAATCATTCTGTCGCACTTCAAAACACGGAGATTTATGACTTTAATAGGTAAACTCCAAAAATATAAATAAAAAAAATGTAACAGATATTTCTTGATTATAGGGCGATACGAAGTTCGCCGGGTCTTCTAGTATATATATATATAGCTGTAAACTCACCCAGGTCGTTTCTTCTCCTCCTCATCGTGTACCGTGAGTCTGTTATTCGGCTTGACCTTGACCCTGGGGTCAGCCTTAGCTCGCCTCGCGAGGGCGGCGGGCGTGTCCCTTAACGCGAAAGCCTTAGCCGCGTGACCCAAGTGTAACTGGCGAGCGTCCAGCCACATCCTGACCTCGCGAGGATAACCCGAGTAGAAACGCACCCAGGAGGTAAATGCTAAGGAGATAAAGCGGCCATACATTTAAAGCTTCCATATCTTACATACATTCTTGTTGTGATAAACAAAGAAACCTATATATTTATTTCACATAATTGAAATTGGTTTATACTGAATGGATGATAAAAATTCTGAAGAAAATTCAAAAAAAAGTATACGTTATACGAAATGATAACTATTTCCTTGCTATACTGATATGCAGCAAAATAAGATATGATTTACGAAAAATAATGATGGCATATTGAATTTATCTCAACATGTAACTTCTAAAAAAAATCAGGAAACACACCACAATTTGATTTATCCTGACTATGTATGGCCAGAATCTTATATGACTAATCTAACTAGACCTATATTGGAACTAAATTCGTAACTTTATGCACAAAAACCTGCCAACCAGATGAATTATAGCTACAATTCAATCAGATTAATTTATATAGGCCACAATTGATCCATATAATAATTTTGCCTAAATAATCTGACGTTCTGACCAAGTATGGCTAGAAACTTATCCAATTTGGTTATGCGTTATCTCTCACCTCTACTAGCTCTTGCCAGCCATTCTTTGGAGCTGTGAGCTACATGTTCCAGCTTCGCTTGAACCGCTATAGCTGCCCTTTGCATTGAGTGTTCTGAGGGAGCCACTGTCCGTAAAGCTTCTAGAGCCTTCGATTCATCCGATTGACGTAACCTATTTGAAACGAATATTAAAGTAACAAATAAGATCTATTATTTTACACCCTGTATTATCTTAATAAACTTATTAATGTGAACATCCTGTATATTAAATATATTGTCAGCATGAACTACTGCGTCGATTTTATTAAAATATAACAACAATAGATCATGTATCCAAATTATTATAAAAGGGTAAATACATTTGTATAAAACTGCCAAATGACTACGATGAGAGTTGAGACCAGAAGTAATCGAAAATTAGGGAGACAAAGTCGCGGGAAATATCTAGTATAACTATAAAATCATTAGACAATCATTAATGGTTACTAAACTAAGCACTATTAAAGGATAAAAGGTAAACATAATCGATAAATTAATCTAATTTTCACGATATATAAGCTTCACATTAAAAAATTAGTATTGCAATATATAAAATCACCTGATACGTTTTTGTTCAAGATGTCTGACGAACTCAGCCTCGCTGGGGAGAAGGAACATTGTAGCGGCGCCGACTTGAGCCGCACGCCCGGTCCTTCCAACTCTATTTATATTTAAAAAAACACAAAATAATGATAATGCAAAACTAAAAACATATATTTATTAAACCAAAACCAATCTGCAAATAACCGTAAGGAATAGAATCAATTATAAAAAAAAATATATTCTTTAAAATATCGATCATATTCTAAATTTGAATTTAAATTTCCCGGTCAAAGTTTTCATGTTTTTTTTTTTAATGCAAGTCATACTGAATATGTGCAAAGTTTAACACATAATGCCATACATGATATAAACATTTTTATAAATGTCACCTGTGAACATAATCCGTAGCGGAGGCAGGTGCACAGAATTGTAACACTAAATCAACGCGAGGTACGTCCAGACCGCGAGCTGCTACATCCTGTATAAATAAAAATTATGTTTATATAACAAGTAACAAAAAACATATATAATTAAATATTTTTTATACACATGAAAATATTAAACCTTCTACTAAGTATTATTAGTATGGGGACCTAAGAATGTTGTAAAGAGAGTCAGAAAACAGCGTTATCGATATTTTTTACTATTTCCTCCGAAAACCTATAGTTATTTAAAGTGTATTGAAAAACATTTGACGAATTTAAATTTGGCACAGATAAAAAAGAATCAGACTGTAAAAAATAACATACGAAATATATTTATTCAATATATATGAATAAAATTTCAAAAAGTTATATATTTACTCCTAAAATCTATAGTACAATACTTCAAACGTCGCCTATAAGGAAATTAATTAATAATGAATAAATATATTAAACCTCAATAATATAATACATATAATTTTTTTCAAAAAAGTGTAAAGTTACCTTCAAAAAGAAGTATTGATTAAGTTAATACTTATTATATTATTTTATTCAAAAGTAATATAATTTAATTGTTCAAAAAAATGTATATTTTAAAAATAAAAATATCAACTGTTATAATTTTCACCTACAGATTATACTTATATAATAATAAAATAAAATACAGATAATATAAAAGCACTACAACAAATGTTAATGTAAATAAAACCATTTACAACCTATGTATTATGTGCTAAGCTGACATCATAATAATAATTTGAGTAAACAAGATTACTAATTACTAACAAATATATATATATATATACTAGAAGACCCGGCGAGCTTCGTATCGCCCTATAATCAAGAAATGTCTGTAACGTTTTTTTATTTATATTTTTATAGTTTACCTATTAAAGTCATAAATCTCGGTGTTTTGAAGTGCGACAGAATGATTGACATATTAGTTAGTTGTCAAATCTAATGCTAAAAAAAAGTTTGTATCAACACCTACTAATAAATTAAAAATGAATTAAAAAAACAGTATCCAGCGGACAAAATTGTGAATCTAAACCATTTCCAGATCCCCTTGAACACACACAAAAAAATTCATCAAAATCGGTCCAGTCGTTTGAGAGAAGTTCAGTGACATACACACTCACAGAAGAATTATATATATCAAGATACTAGCTATGCCCGCGACTTCGTCCGCGTAGAGTAGTTATATTGGGCATTATATTTATTTTTGTAAAAAACCTCCCCAGCTTTTTAAGTTATTATAGCCACGACTTTGTTATTAATTTAGACAATTATTTTTTTAAATTTTTAAAATAATATAATTATTTTAAAGTACTTCTGCGTAAATAATTATATTTTTAGTTTTATTTTTTATAGCAGAAGAACATATTGGTTTTCTCCGCAACCCGATCTTGACAATGCGACATACATATATTTGGCCGTGCGAAAAGCAGTCGTCTTAAAACGATTCCTAATGTTTAAATGTTTGCCCCTTGATTTATTTATTGTAATGTCAAAAGATAGCTTATTAACGGGAAATTAAATTCATTTAAAATTAAAAGGTTAATCATTAGGAATCATTGAGATGCGAGACAGTCAGTAAGTCAGTGGTGGCCTAGTGGTTAAAGGGTCCGCCTCTCGTTGCCGAGGGCGCGGGTTCAAACCTGGCAAGTACCAATGTGATTTTTCGGAAATATGTACTTTCTAAGAGTATTTAGACATCACTGACATACGGTGAAGGAAAACATCGTGAGGAAACCTGGACTTATAGTTTCACAATTATAAGTTTGAAATCTCCAACCCGTCTTGAGCGAGCGTGGTGATAAATGCTCAAACCTTCTCCATGTGAGAAAGAGGCCTTGCTCAGCAGTGGGCTCTGATAGGCTGGTGATGATGAGATGCGAGTTATAAGAACTGTTTGAGCAACTGCTGGACCAGTCAAAACTATTGCAGCGATCACGTTATTGCGTAGAAATTTGATATGAAGTCGAATCCCGTTAGATAAATTTGGTGGTTTAAGGTTTCTAAGCAAAATTATTGGGGTACCTGTTTTTATAATGAGATCTAAGATATTTTTAACTTGACAGAGTATGGGGGAAGGCCACTTGGGTTCAATTCAATTAAAAAACTCCTGTAGGTAATGGACCGCATCTTGATCCATTTCATTATCAATAGATGTGTAGGTATAAGGAGACACAGCTCTATGGAGTATGGTGCATTCGTCCCGGGTAATTAAAATGACATCTTGTAAAACTTTTCCCATAGGGCCACACTACACAGTACAGTTTTGCATTTACACTATACACTGCACAGTTTCCAGTATACACTGTACTGTCTACATAATACACTGTACAGTCTGTAGTATGCGCTATATTCACTGCACAGTTTGCAGTTTACACGATACACAGCAAAGTATGCAATATTGACTGTAGACTGTACAGTTTTCAGATAACGTTTGAAGTGAAAATTCTATGCGAGCATGAATATAATATATTTTCAGACGAAACGAAATGATGAATAGTTTTTGACCTAAAAGAGGGGCAAAGTGATTGGGACCAATTGAGAGAGGGAAAAGGTAAGCGTAGCACGAAACACGTAGAAATGGAGCGAGAGTAAGTCACAAGCGAGTAATAAAGATCAGCAGTGGGAGGGAGATAGAAGCAAAACGTCACTTAAGGCACAAAGCCATGGTATGAGAGGACCATCTTAAAAGGTAGCCATAAGCTGTCGCGGACATATTTTTTAGATGTTTCAAGGGGAATAATTCTTTAGAATATATATTTTTTGGTATCTTAAACCGTTTTCTCAGCGCACACAACGGAAGCCCTCAAAGATGGATAATTTTTCCTATTTTTCCACATTTTACATTGTTTCTTCGTTCCTAGTCAATCAAGAAAAATCAGTTACGTTTTTTTATTTATATTTTTGGAGTTTACCTATTAAAGCCATAAATCTCCGTGTTTGAAGTGCGAGATAATGATTGACATATCAGTTAGTTGTCAAAACTAATGTCAAAAAAAACGTTTGTATCAACAACTACTAATAAATTAAAAATTAATCAAAAAACCATTGTCCAGCGGAAAAAATTGTCAATCTAAACCATTCCCAGATACCCTTAAAAACACACAAAAAATTTCATCAAAATCGGTCCAGTCGTTTGAGAGAAGTTCAGTGACATACACACTCACAGAAGAATTATATATATAATAAACATATACATACAAGTATATACTCACAGTACATATCAGAACACCATGTTTTGCCGTACGGAATTGCTTGAACACCTCCATCCTAGTTTCATGTGGCATTGACCCATGCAAACTGAACACATCCAGATCTAAAGGCACCAACCCTGGCTCGGAGTAGTTTATTTCGAAGTCAGAACTATCAGATCCCTAAGAAAAAAAAACATTTTAAACCAATAATAGAGAGTTTTTTATTGTTTATTTTTATCACATTAATCACCTCATCATTTTTTCCGCCATTTTCTGTTCCCTTTTTCTTAGAATCTGTCTTTTTGGTGTCTTTCCCAGTTAGTACAGTCTCTATTAATTCCGACAAATAATCTACCATTTCTAGGGTTGCCATAAACACGATCATTTTCCCGCCCTTTTTATTCAGAACACAATGTTCAACTATAAGTGAGCACAGTGTTACCAGTCTCAATTTCATTGGCACAATAAGGAAAGTTTGGTTTACGGTTGCCGGTAAAACTAATTCGTCTTCAACGATCGCTGTTTTTAACGCATCCACGAAAACATTTCTAGATTCTTCTTGTACTGTTTCTTCAGACTTATCCTCTGTTTTGGTTTCAATGGGTTTCTTCTCCAAAGATTTTTGGACTTTAAAATATTCGTAATCGGAATCGCTGTCACTGTCATCATTACTTGGTTTGCTTACATTAGGTTTGTTTGTAATTTTCTCAGTTTCATTTTTGTCTTTGCCGAATAGTTCTGGATGATTGGTTCCACTAAAGGGTTTCAGGCCTAACACAACATATTTAATAAATAATTTTGTTTCTAGAATATTCCCTCAATTTCATTAATAGAAATGATAGTATTTGTAAACTATTCTACTTACCGGTTCTACTTGACTCACACGATTTGTCATTTTGGCTTTCTTGGTCCTCTACAAGATTATGTTCATTGGTTTCTTTGACATTATTCACAACTTTAGGTATATTTTGTTTAGGTTCTTCCTGGACTGGTTTAGGTTTCAAGGAATCGGCAACAACAGCCTTGCCGTCTGATGTATCTATAAACACAGGATCCTGCATAGTTATTCCTGCTAAATTTTCAACAGCCTAAAGATGACAATAAAAGGAAATTATATAAGTACAACATTTTTAAAATTATGACATAATATTCCTTACTAATCATAAGAATAGTTGATAACATATTACACCAAGGAAAAACAAAAACATATATTCTAAAAAACATTTTTTGGTTACTTAATTTACCTTATGAACGAATAGGAAATGAAGTAATTTACCTTTGTAAGTGTAGCAGATAATAGAATTGTCTGTCTCTCTTTAGACAGAAAAACTTTAGTTAAAGGATGTTCCACACTCGATTCAACAGTATTTTCTGTTTCATTCTGTTGTACAACTTCCTCATTGTCACTAACTTTCTTTACAATTGTTTGTTTAACTAACGCCATAGGATCGTATGTAGCCGCCTTTTTGTGATCCTCTATAGCTTTGACTATTGCAGCTACATCTTTTTCATAGCCCATATCTAACAAACGATCAGCTTCATCCAATATAAGGCATCTAAAATTAATCTTTTTTAATAAATTTATAAAGGAAATAATCATATTTGATATGAATTTCCTCAGATATTCTGTCTTCATTCATATATACTGTTATAATTACCCTGTTTTAGCAAAATTTAATGAATGAGTGTGTCTTAAGTGATCATTAATCCTTCCTGGTGTACCGACTAAAATACTGAGGCCTTTTCTTAATCTAGCCTTCTCGGCTTTCCTTTTTTGACCACCACTTAGTAATCCCGGTACAATCCAAACGAAGGGCTAGAAAAAAATCTTTGGTACACCATTTTTCTACTACAAGTGCTGGTTATGTTAAACCATTTTCAATAATATGTAATATTAAAAAGACTTTTACTTGTAAAAAAAAAAACATAATTTATTTTGAATAGAAATATGTATTGTAAGAGTTAACTAGGTAATAAATGCAATAATAGGCAAAATTATGTAGAAAATAAGCTGGATTACTGCTTACCTTGACAAGTTTTACAAACAACTCATAAGTCTGTACGGCTAATTCTCTTGTAGGAACAACTACAATAGCTTTGATGCCATCATGCCTATTTATTTTGGGTCTTATAGCCTGTAAACCTTCAATGACAGGCAACGCATATGCCAAAGTCTTACCTGAACCCGTTTGTGATCTAAAAGACATATAATTTATAAGTAATTGTGTACATTTATGTAAACTTTTATTTGAAACATACACTTGAATTATTGCATACCACAAAAAAATATATAAATATTGAATGTGTATGTCTAACAAAGAAAATCTTTTGCTTAAAAAGAGTATGTATATGTATCAAATATATTAAATGTATTTCCTGTAATATAATGTCTAAGATTAATCAAGTCAAACATGATAACATAAAAGTATAATTCTTCGAAAGTTGAAAATCTATTTTATTTAAATGTAATTTCAGAGTTCATCTGATTAATATAAAACTTTGTTACCTAATCAAAACATCTCGTCCCTCTAAAATAATTGGTATAGCTTTTTGTTGTACTGTCATCAACTCGGTTAAATTTAAATTCTGTTTCAAATTAGCAACACTGTGAGGATGTATGTTTAGATCTGAAAATGTTTTGCCGGCAAATACTTTCTCCACCACCGGTCTCACTGCCTTTTGGCCTATCTTAGGGACTTCGGGGTTATTCTTAAACAGCGATGATATCCATGGACCACTTTTAAGTTTCTGCTTGAGTTTTATGTCATCACTTAAAAGCTGATAATCTTTTCCCTGGAATTTACCCTTGTTTTCACTGAGATCTCGTAACCTTCCAGCTAAATCGTCACTTTTAGGGACTGAATTTGTATTTGTGTTTGTCTTAGGTATCTTATTCTGTGGTTCGCCTTCACTTTGTTGCGGTAATTTTCTTTGACCCGTATTTTGAGGTCTTTTTCGAGCGATAATTTTACCAGAAAAGTCCGGTTTAGACTTGAACTTGTACTCAGTGTTATTTTTTTGAACGAAATGTTTGTTGACTGGTTTATTTTGATTCTAAAATAACATGTTTCAATGAAAGTACAGAGTAAATAGACATTGACTTACAGAGAATCTACAAACCACTTACCTTTTTCGCAACAGTAATATTTAATTGCATATCATCCATTTTTAACAATATTATTATCACCACACACTTTGAGGTTATCCGCACGTTGTGACATTTGTCAACAACAAGAACATGACGTTTAAACACATCTACGCCGTAATCAGCTTTGAATGACAAATATCGTTTCGGTTAAAGCATTATTTCTTGTTTTATCCAATGTCGCAGTAATATTTGTATTCTCTTATTTTTATAAGGACATTCTTTGAATGAGTATTAAAAATATTACATGTAAAGCCTTTACAAACTTATTTGTTTTGTCGAAATATCTTTACACATATGTTCTTAACTTCAAGGTCAAAATAACAAGTAAATTTTGAATTGGATAGATCTGACGTAATGTAAATTTTGAAACCTTTAACTCTTTACTGTAAGTTATATTTGAATAACATGGAATTTTTTACTATGAACAAATATGTAATTCTACTTGAAGGACTACTTGATTAAGCAATAGAGAATACTCGCTCAAACAGATAGTTTTGCTTGAAAGTAAAAATTATTAAACTAAATTCTAAGCATTCCAAGTATTCTAAGTATTCAAAAAATATGAATCATTTTAGGATAGCCAGTCAAAAGTATTTTATAATGTATTGCCAAAGCTCGATATCTTTTTAGACCTATTTTTCCACTTTTAATATTATGTTTTTATGACCATATATCTTCTTATTAAACAATTTTAAAATCTATAAAATAAAATTCTTGTGGCACCTATGGTTTTATGAATCTACGATGTGAGTGATTTTTTTTAATATTTAGGATTCTAAATCCCATTTTTATTCCTTAACTTAATACGTGATTAGATCACGAGAATAATAATAGAAAATGAATAGTAGGCCAATAATAATTTTGAACGAAACAATTATATCTGAAAAGTTACTACCATCTTCCGTTTCTGTCTTAAGTCTCCTTTTCTTTTTTCAATTTTCAGTAGTCGGTAAAGTAATATTATTAAAATAATATAAGTGATCAAACATACCCTAACTATCATTTTGAATGTAGAAACATCATCATCATCAGCCTATCAGAGACCACTGTTGAGCAAAGACTTAGGATTTCGGGTTGAGGATTAATGCTCAAACCTTCTCACATTGATAAAGTTTCTGCATTAATCACCACGCTTGCACAAGGCGGGTTGGCGATTTCAAATTTATAATTCGAAATTATAATTAGTCCAGGTTTCCTCACGATGTTTTCCTTCACCGTCTGTCGTTGGTGCCTAAATACTCTTAGAAAGTACATATGACTTGGAAAATGCACATTAGTACTTGCCAGGTTTCGAACCCGCGCTTTCATGCACGAGAGGCTGGCCTTTTAACCTCTAGGCCACCACGATATAGCATAATAACGTATAATTTTAATCGTATAAATTTATTTGTAAGTTTTAACAAAGATTTTTCTGTTTTTAATACAAGAACGGTATACTTATATATGCAAGGAATTTTAATTCCAAAACAGATTCCAAGTGTCAAACGAAAACTGAAGTGACAAATTTTGTATACCTACCTAATATATGATATACATTACTTTATAGAAACCACATTATACTAAAATCTAAATTCAAAGTTAATAAAATGAATAGACAAAGTTTAAACGAGTCAAATGTGGCAAATTAGCAATTACTACTTATGGCGTTATCATTAGATATATTTGTTTTAAAACAGGCTTAAGCGAACACACAAAGAGTTAATCTACATAACTAATAATGTTGATCGTTCCATAGAAATGAATTAAAGATGTAAGCACGCGTTGCGGATGCGTATTGCCCAGTAACCACGTGGCAGCACGTGCCGCCAAAACATAACTCCGTGTCGTCTATGGGGTGGAATAAATATTTGTGATGTAAGCCGTGTTTACTATATGAGAGCCCTCTAATTTATAAAGCGTCATTAACGCACCAAAGCTTGAATTATTACATTATGGGGCCGGAAAATCTATACTTAACCAATTTTCTTCTGATAATACGATTTATCTTGATACGTTTAAGAATTAAAATGATATAAAAACGTTAGGAGAAATATATAATTGGAATAAGTGTTAGATATATAGAAAATCACTTTTCTAATTTAAGTTTTTAAAGTGAACGTTACATCAACAGTGTTATGTTTCAGTTAATTAATCGCCATATAAAATTGAAGATGTTTTAAAGTGGGTTTGTTTGGATGTAGAGTGACAAATGTTACCTACTGATTTCCAAGTATGAGTCAAATAAAGGGGGATTTTTATATTTGTTTATCTCTTCTATGGTTATAACATGATAAGTTAGTAATTAGTATCGGTAAATTACAGTCTATCTTACTAAATGTGTATGAATAAAATATACTGAGTGTTTTAGCTCTATAGGTATTATATATAGGTACCTATGGTTCTTATAATCTTTAAAAAAATTCACTCTTTTTTTTCGGAATTATTAAGATATTGAAGAAGCATGATATAAAATTTGTAATTCAAATAATTTAATTTGTAATTATTTTAAGGCCTAAATATCAATGGTTAATTTTATTTCAAACATGAATAAAACACCTCAGACGATCGTTATTATTAGGTATATTCGTGAGTAATTTGCAGACTGTGATCTGGAAAATTCTTAAGGTTTTTATTGTACATCACATATCTATATAATTTATTGGTATAATTTATTGGAAAATAAAGGTTTAAAAATAAAACATATCGTCTTTTTATCTATCTTTTTTTTTAATTCGCAAAATATAATCAACAATGGGTTCGACTTTTAAAAAAAAATTTAGGTACATACCCTAAATAAACATTTAAATAGGTATATAAAAGTAAACACTCACTTAAAAATAATAATATAACTTGAAGTATATAACTTGAAAAAACCTTAAGTTAGCACATTGAGTGTACGTCAATCGTCATATAAGTATATTTTTGTACATTTGATAAACATTTTACTTTCTAGTATCAAGTAACATTCTAATTCCTTTAAAGAATATTCAAATAAGACTGCCAATTTAATCAAAATACAAAAATCAATAAAGAAAAATCATATCACTTCTTATTACATAAGTAACAAACACAAAATATCTCGAGACAAATTCAGAAAGCTTTTGCTGGGCGTTCGTCACACAATCCCCGGCCACAAATCCATGCACTTGGAATTCTGCGCAAATAGGAAGGGGAAGTGTGAAGGCGGTGATTACCAGCCAACCGGCACGACCCGACCCCGGGTGTAGCTTGATTTTGGACTGCTTATACAAATAAAACCTTCTTATTGTCATAACGCGTTTGAGGTCGTTGTGTTTATTTAAAAAAAAACATACACGAAACGTAATTAAATTAATATGACAAGCATATGCTACACAATTAATAAATAGCTTTTACTAAATGATTTACAATAAGTAATAACAGTATTATCCTGGAATATGACATCGAAAATATTCTATATAACCTCATTCGTCAATGAAGTATGAAAATGCTATACATGACAAGTACTGTCAAAATAATTTAAAAAAAACAGACTAATAATAATTGTAAGCCGAAATCATAAAACTTCCAATAAGGTGAATATAATTTAATTTATTATCAAATTAGAATGCATTTTGTTCATAATAACATACTAAACTAAGCCTATATTAAACAATAAATATAATGTTTTACCGACGCGTCAATCAAGCTATATACCTGTTTGTAATATATATGTAATTTATTTAGTAATGGCGTTGAAACCTACGACTTGTAAGGAAGCGATAGCTAGATGGGAGAAGGACAAGGAACAGACTGCTGCGGACGCTACAGTTATTGAGCTACAGTTCCAGTGGCCACCGATAGAAAAAATGGATGGCGCTCTGTCTACTCTCGTCGCTTGTGAGTTAGTACTTACTTCGATCTATATGAAATGTTGTATAACGTTTGTAGGAAAGAAGATTCGTATTGATTGAATGACAGTCAACTGTCAAGCATTTCTTCTTCTTCTGCCTGGCAATTTCCCAACTTTAACCAGGGTCTGCCCTATACAGGTTTGCCCTATAAGCACTATGCGGTCGAAATAAAAAAATGTAGCAATATAATTCTGTACTAAGAATTATCATAAAATTCAGAATTTCATTATAATTATGAAATTTATATATTTAATTTGTCACCATTATATAAAACTATAAACTAAATAATTTGATTACTTCAGGAAACTCAGCTTATCTTCCAATATGATAGACAAAATCGCGGGCATCGCTGGTATGAGGAGCTTGAAAATATTGTCGCTTGGGAGAAATTACATCAAAACCTTAGCTGGCATAGTAAGATGTCACAAAAATCTTTCGCAATATCTAAAGGAACTTTCTAGATGTTTATATAATAATTATTTTTGATATTAAACCTTTTTGTAGGAGACTGTGGCTGATACTTTAGAGGAACTTTGGATAAGTTACAATCCAATCGACAAATTGAAAGGTGTAGGAGCTCTAAAGAATCTCCGTGTTCTGTATATATCTAACAATATGATCAAAGAGTGGGCGGAATTTAACAGACTACAGGTACACCTTAAAGATTATTAAAAAAATTCAAACGATGTCGCTCTTAATGTCGCTAGTAATGATATAATATGATATAATTGGTTCTCAAATTATCAAATTTCCTTCCCAATCAAGCGATATTATCAAATTATTTCTATGTTTCTTTATTGAACTTAAGCATAAATAAGACTTTTCTTATAGGAATGCCCAGCACTTCGTGACCTTGTATTCATAGGAAATCCTCTCTACGAAAACCAGCCTGACGTAGAGACCTGGCGGACCCAGGCTTGCAATCGCCTACAACAAATAAACAAACTGGACGGCATACCCATTGTCCGAGAAACTGAATAATCACAGATTTGTAATTACCAATACATCAACGTTCTACTCGAAATGCTTTTTAATGTCCGATCATTATCAAGATTTCTACGAGCGGTGAGTCAATTACACAACAATTGCGGTTAAAACATAGCCGTCTCATGGAATTTATAATTCAAAATGAGTTGTGATTGCGTGACCGCTCTAACAAAGACTGATATAAGACCACTTGTTTAGGATGGAATATGAAATGACAATAATAATCGGAATAATAGCTTCGTAGCGTCGCCTCTGCTTGACATTTATGACAGATTATGAGTTGCTACTAATAATCGCCGCGCACGCCATCTGTCTATTAGGTTGTACGATTTACGTGTGACGGCTATGATTGAATTCTATTAATCGAATCATGATTGTTGTAAATTGTAGAAACCGATTCACATCTACGAAGCTGCTTCTTGGAAAAACTTTCTTGTTAGGTACATTGCTTCATTATATTTGAAATATACGCGCATAATACAAATTGATATTATATTTGAATGACAAACAATGTTTTTGCGAATTAAAACAAGATAAAGCGCTTCTGTTACGCAACAAATCTCCTTAATCTTGGTGTGTATCCATCTCTATTGTGTCCGGTTTATGATTCGTCATACATCTCAGAGTCGACTTAATAGCCTGCTTAATTCCAGCGAAAGGAAATACGAATTGCCGAGGGTCGCTTTTGATGGCGGAAAAGTCCCTCTGTAGCCGCCCAGTGGCATTCTCATTGTATTGCTAATAAAATTTAATGATGTAAACGGATAGCGCGAATAGACCTAACTTAGTAGCGCTCAGGGAGGCGGCCGCTGAGGGGAAATCAATTAACAACAATATATTTGTCGTGGATTGAATTAATTTTGCAACGAGATACTGTTGTAAAACTGTAAGATAGGCATCAGTTTAGAAATTTAAAAATAAAAAAATATACATCAAACGGGTTTGTGTTAGAAGAAAATGTAACATTAATTATAATGATTGATTCTTTTCGATGGTGCCACTAACACTTAACTTTCTATTTCATTTAAACTAATTGATTTTAAGTGTAACGGTAATGTATCGTGTGGCCGAAAAGCAATAATAAATATTGGTTGTATGGTGACATTTGAATAGTGTTCAATAATGAATGCCTCGTGGATTATTGTGTACTCTCGGTAATGGACCGATAATTGTCCGTCCAAACAGAAGTAACTCTCTTAATCACAAAGCAGCTCACACCTTCCCCTTTCCCGTGCCTATATGGCGACCATTATTTAATTATTAACATTACAATCAACCTAATTTTGATTTGTATTTGACATTTCGGTAACAGAACGCCCCCGGCGAGCGGCCATTTTGTGACATCTGTCTCGAATGTGTTACGAACTATAAAATTCAATTTCCCCAATCGGCCAGCTCGGCACATTTATTATTCATAGATCGGTACATGGACGTCGGCCACTAACAGATGTGATCTTTTACGTGATATAAAAAGATGTTATAATACTAAAATCACTGGATGCAAAGGACCGAGCTGTTTTATTCATAGAATCATAGATATTCATTGTACCGTAATGATATTGGCTGTTTAATCAAAAACGGATCTTAAAAAAGACGAAAATTGTGTATTCTCTATGGCACACGACAAAATCAAAAGTTATATATATGAATAATTAAACAAAAAAAAGTATCAGAAATAGTCATGATTCAAAACGATTTTATAATTTTCAGTGTGCCGAAGTATGGAATGCACGACAGCGGTAATCGCCTTCAGGCTGAACATATTAAATATTGTAACCCTATCGAGTTCCATTCCTGTAATGGCTATATCGGTGCAGCTGGTCTCATATTTAAATGTATAATCGTGGTACGCGAGGCCAATAAATCAATCCATGTCGTCGGTAATGCACAATCCATTTGCTCGCATGTAGCATAATTGCTGTTAGCGCCGCCCAATGGCCACATTAGCCCGTCCCGACCCCACGGCCCACAGCCGACCCCAGCAGAGGCTGAGACTCGAATTAGCCTCCTCTATTTTAATGGCTGATTTTCTAGCTCACGAAGCCGCTGCAAACGTCCGCGCTTACGCCACTTAAAGGCGGAGAAAATAGCTTAAGTGCTTTCTCTATTATACTTAAGGTCGTTCGTGAAAAGGATAATTTTCAACTCTCAAACGCCCCGCCCGCCATTGAGATAGATTAATATGGATACGATTATATTGTAATAATTTATATTTGAGTTATACTTATACTATAACGATTATATGTAGTACTAAAATATTTTATTCCATATTAATATTTGATAAATATGAAATTAATTTTAATTTTATATATTTTTTTTTGTGTCGTAAGTATTTTATATTAAAATATAAACGAATGAACATTCACATTTTTCTGTCTCGATGTGAGATAATATATTTTTAAGGCCTCGGCCTCGAATCTCGCGGGTAGCGGGGCGGCAGCGGCGGCGGCACGAAAACGCATACATTTCTCCGTGCCCCCTCCCCTCTAGTTTGGAGAATAGTATGCGTTTCCGTGCCGCCGCCGCTGCCGCCCCGCTACCCGCGAGATTCGAGGCCGAGGCCTAAGTTGGGTAACCTATTGTAGTAGCGCGAGGGTCGCGAAATAAAGCTTTTCCAACAAACAATAGTTCCGGCCCTTTGTCGCGCTCAGAGTTGAGTAAACATTAGTAGTTGAGGCCTTTGTGGCCGCGGCTTGAGAGGTTACGGCCAGATAGCTACCACTTACCCTCCTCTACTATTGTTTGTTTGATATATTTTTGTCTTTGTAAAGTCTTTGCTACGTTGAATTTGTTTACCCAAATGTAGGACTTATTATTTCGGAGCGGTAATTTTATCATGATATTTACTTTATATTCAGACGACCAGATTTATTTAATGTACTTATTGTATATTAACATTATATTATATACTTATAAGTTTTATGTAAACAAAAACTTTATCCAGTGAAGTAAACACGTAACACTCCTTATACAAAGCCAGTAAAAGTTAAACTAAAACGTTGAAGTCACGATCCCATCATAAATTACTGTTTCAACATTAACACCTACTTTCCATAATAGCCGATAAACCAAATTTAGTTTTCATGTAAGGCACCCTCCCAGCTACTTATATAATAAGCAATGATCAATGGAGATTAATCCTATTGTGTGACATGCTCACGAAAAAAAGCATATCTGAATTATTCCGCCACGGTCGCGTTAATATCTACATAACATTAGAGTGAGTATTGTTGCCAGCTACTGGATTACGCGTCAAATGTTGACAGTTGTCAGTGAAACAATAGAAGCCGGCGCATTCCAACAATACGCATAATAGGTCGTGTTTATTTAATTTAAGTGACTAGCAATGGAATAAAGTCGTGTTTTCGCCAGCGGCGTTCCGACTTGAGAGGAGCGCCTCGGGGCAATAAAATTAATGAAGCGTAGAGATGGGACCATTTTACTTGTATTATTCGTCTCCTGCGGGCTGAGACTGAAGCGAATGTCCATTAGTTCTGTTTTAACATGTTAGCGAGGTTGAAACGTTGTAAATGCGATTTACTTTACAGAGAGGGAGAGATTCGATAGCGATCAATATACTATCCTATTCGATATATATAATGTTGAACTTTGAAACAATTATCTTATATTTTTATACAAATATTCTATTCAATAAATACTTATATGGTTTAAAACTTAATTCTCTATATAAAAATAGCGTTAACCCCAAAAAATTTTATTTTTTGATACAAGACAAACATCGCTCGTTGCATGAACAATAGTATTACAGCGTATTAGCGGTTAACTGATGATCAAACCGACGGCCGGCGACTCACTAAAGATTATATCTATGACGGGGTGCTCATATGAAGCTTTTACTGCATTAAAACTCTATTTAAACTAAATAATAATGTACTATAAATATATTTATATGATGTTATATTATCTGTCAAGATTATCGTAAAATATTTTCTTAAAAAAAAATTAGTTGTCACAAAGCTGAATGACGAGTAGCCGTTTCATAATAAAATTTAAAAAAAGAATATTAATTTCTTATATGTCAATTTATTCAAAACGACCATTTAAAAACAAATGAAAATCTATTAATACTAGTTTTATATAGGTAACTTTCATACATATAACGATAATGGAAAATACATTTGTAATAAATAATAATGAAAATAATGCAGCTTAAGCATTTAATTTAATTTCTGTTATACCATTTCTGCGGAATGCGTCACCGTTTTCGTAGAAGCGTCGTAGCCGGAGACAAATTTCGTAGTGCTTTGTTCCATAAACTTGTCAACCAAGCGAAATGTATGAACAAATTAATTATTATATTCGTTTGAGTTTTTTCCTTGTAATATTAATATTTCTCATCACAATTCATAGTAGGTATAAGAAAAAGTATGACAGAATATATATATTAACTTTATTTATTCTATTACGTAAAAGTACGAATGTTGAGGCCCAAAATAAACTTTAGTAACATAAATGGACGAAAAGGGTCAAATCTAGACATACTAGGTACATAAACTCAGTATATAAACTTGATAAGCTCTCATTTTTCTTATTTATAATGCTTTGTATATTTTGTCGAAGTATCTAGAAGTCATAAATGCTTCATCTATTAAAACGTTTTCTTGATTTAAATTCAGAACAACATTCAGTAAGTCGTTTTTTTTTTTAATTTTTCAACAACAATTTTATCAGTAACAGCCAAACAATCGCCCGCGGTAAACTATCGCACGGCCATTACACGAACATTTGCCATCACTATTACCATATTATCTGATGTGTTACAACACTCGGACGAATACTCGAGACAATAACAAGATTAGTGTATAATGACAATGGGATTTTGCGAGATCCTTATCGATAAAGCGGAGATAACATCGAAATTTAAAACCCCGTATGTGAGCCAGCGATCATGCTTTATACTATAGGTGCGTTATGGATTAGTCCTATAACAATTCTCTATAATAAATCCTATACATATATTGAATTCGAAAAGAGAAGTGAATGTATGTTAGTAAAAGATCAAATTTTTTTTATCGATTTTTTCGCAACTCTACAAAATGAAAATACAGTTAAGTATAACTTATTTTAACTTGACTTCTTCTTCTAACTGGCAATTTTCCCAGCTTTAGCCAGGGTCTGCCTTACATGTTGTGAATAGTTTTGGCTAATTGATTTTACGACCGGCCGTCTGACTGACATAAACCCTGTTAGGGAATGCATTAATCAGTGATGTCTAAATACTCTTAGAAAGTACATATGACTCGGAGTAATCACATTGGTACTTGCCAGGACCGAACCCACGTCCTCATGTATGAGAGGCGGGCCTTTTAACCACTAGGCCACCACTGACTTATTTTAACTTGACTATGCAAGAAAAATTACTAGAATAATTAATACATACATATAAATTGATATATTTTTTATATTATATTGTCAAGCAACTTTAATTATAAGCTAAAAACGAATATGACAGTGATATTATAAAAGAAGCTGTAAAAGTGTCGTAAAAATTGAACACACAAAAATAAAAGTACACGCCAATGATAAAGTTTTATGGGGCTATTACATAGCAACAATAGGCAGAGAACGCGCCAGAGGCTGGGAGGTTTAGTGCATCCGATTTACATACAAAAACTTCTATTTCCCGAACTAAATGGCACGTGAGAGGACATAAAAATAAGGGAAACTAGTACTACATGATAGTTGCTAAGTTTGTTGACGGTACACGCTTTGTATAACTGAAAATATCTTATCTACCGATTGTCTTACTGACATAAATGCATGTGTTAATCTATCATTTTATAAAATTTAAAATTATTAATGACTATGTCCAAATAACGTCAGAAAAAACGCCATATACTTTTGTTATCTGTGTTTTAAAAACTAAGCTGTTATATACATACAATCTGGGATGGATTCGAAACGAAAAGTTATAATATGAAAGTTTGACATTGGCAGGTTTTTGTATAAGACAATATAATTTGATTGTTATAAATAATGTAACTGGATATAAAAATTATTTCCTCAACATTTTTATATCGGTTCAACAAAGGATCATAAAAACTTTGCGAGGATGTGGCCAGCACGTCAAACTGAAGTCGAGCCTACCGACTTGTTCCATCTCCTGAGGAAGTGATTTGTCAGCGCCGCCCCCTCTCGATTGAATAATTCAAATAATCGAGGTATTTATATGTAAATAGCGGGATACATCTCCATACGAAAGGGACTATCGGTACATAAATTTGGCAAGAAGACGCGAAAACTGCGACGCACCACCGAACTGATTTATTCGCCAAGTTTTGGAAAAAGTGACTCGCGTCAGGAAATGTTTGTCTAATCGCGTTTATTGCCCCGACCCACGATTTTTCACCCCGAAGGACAAGGGTGAATCGTGCCCATATTACATACCGATATTGGGATGAGAAAACATGTTACGATATTTTTTATCAGATATATCTATAAATAATAATCTGTTAGTTTGTATCCATACAGAGAATTCATTAAAGTAATATTATGAAATGAATAAGAAATTGATACGTGTGAAATCAATTATTAATTAGAAACAATTCATGGAAACAATACGTAAGGTATTTGGTTCTCCGTAACGAATATCATATGTTCGTGGCACTCTATTAGTCATCCAGCGGCAAACTCATCAATCATGCTTGCGCTGCTCTAGGTAAAGTGTTAATAATCGTTACCACTACTATTGTTCTTTATTAGCAACATAATTCACATCTAAAATAGCTCGTTTCTTTATTCATATATAATTTTATTTTTTAAACTCACCTTTTATGACATATTGACATTGACATTTTAGAATGACATGTCGATCACATTAATTTGACATTTGTTAAATAAAAAAAAATCATAGATAAGTATTAACATAAATATAGAAGATATATCAAACTGGATATCAACAAATCCTGAAAGAAAAAGTATTGAACAGATGAACATGAACGTGAACAGATCTTATAAAATACACATTAGCAGCTTCTTATGTGCATGAGTTTCTAGGAAAGCGATCGTATTATATAAAAATAGGTTAAAAGCGTCTATAATGAGTTGTATAGTTGTATAGAACATAGAGAAATAAGTAAGCGAGCAACAAAACGCACTTTATCAGGTGGCGGGCGCTTTATCTTGCTAATGACCAACCCCTCCAGAGTAATAAAAGTCGATATCAACCTTAGTGTGGACTTCGCCTAGCTGGTCTTGATACTTGACAAAAAATATATATTTATTTAATTTATTCTAAGCGTTACATATATTTTTTAATATTTTGTTCTAATCCAATTTCGTTTTAAAGTTTTAAAATAAATTTGCAGTTGGAGCTAACAAATTAGTATAATCTATTCATAAAGAGTGTCATTAGACATCATTAATCAATACACTAGATAATTAACTTTATCATTTAATAACTTAAGACGTTGTATGTATATTGAATAAGTTGTTAGTTTTGTTTACCAGGAATCTTTATAATTTTCTCCATATTTTTTTAATTTTACCGCCCTTATATGACGAACAAGATTTGTTAAATCTTCTGTAATGTAAAGCTGTTACATATTATTCAAAAAAGTACTATAGCGTTGCATTACGAGACTTATTAGTTTTAAATTACCTAAATTTTTTGGTATTGAAATCAAAAAGATCTTTTCTTATAGAGTATTTGTATAGAATAAAGTGTGCGTTAGAGTTAAGGCTTTGACATATTTTAAAACGAATTTGTCATTTTTTTGACAAGATTAATAAAATAGGTATATAACAGCAAATGACAGACGACAGGTAACAATTAAAACAATTAGTATTGAAAATAAATATCAAAAGAAGCCAATATCAAAACATATCGCAGCAGTTTAGCTCACTGAAGCGCGGTTGAGAATTAGCGGCGGCGGGAAAGAAAAATGATTGTGACAGTCCGGCGAACACAGCTAATGGAGTCTGCGTCTGCGAAATGTTGCCACTTACAAACACTCAGCTATTGCTGTGAGAATTACAATGGTTTATTTATATTAAAACAAAAACGTTATTACGGCTTATCGAATTATAAATATTGTACATTACATCATTAACTCGGATCTGTGAAATATTGCATATAAGATGATCTCAGTCTATATAAAAACCTTTTGCCAACATTTTTTAAGCAGAAAAAGCTGAATATATTGAATGTATATATAAAATCGAACTAAAAGGCATACAATTCACCTGAAATCTTTTGTAATGTATAGTAATAATAGTGAAAGGTAGCTGTCAACTATTTCGGCTTTATAATTTTAACATAACTTTTTTCAAAATAATTTAATACATTAATTATAAATATACATAAACAAAAAAGAATCATATAAATTCATTCTAGAATAGATATCAATATCAAGATAATCACTAGATTAGACACTTAACACCAATACCGGGTGGTTGTTTGATGTTATCTAGTCAAATTCAAATCACCAATACAATACTCGGAGGGCTATTTCCAAATAAGTTGAGAGCTCATAGTAATAACAGAGCCCCACCCCTACGTTGTCGAGCTCCCCTCACAAATTAAGTGTAAAACAAACCTAATGAAATTTAAATATCTCTTCGACGACGTAATAACTGCACAAATAAAATCATGTTGGGGGAGAATAATCGCTTCTATTGTATACACATTGTAGGAAATTACGGCACGATATAATAAATGGAACCTTTTCTAAGTATTTATGAGCACATCTTACTGTATATTTTGAGACTTATTTGAGTGTAACAAGGTTTCACGAGGGTTAGAATAGCATAAGAAGGGGCGGGGATGTTCTCCAGACAGTAATAGGCTCTCGGGGTGATAGGCATACCTCTTATTGTTGGCTTGTTATCTGATAATTCACTGTAATGTGTTTAGTAGTGGGATGTAACAAGAAAATGTAAGAGGATAATTTTATTTGGTTCCATGCGGTGTGTTTGATTCAAGTTTCAACAGCTTTAAAGTTTGTTAACAAGATTTACTCTATTAACGAGGTATAATTGACTTAAATGAATCGAGGTTCTTTAAGATATATTTTGAACCGGTGTTAATGATTCAACTCATTTATAATTATATAACAAATGAACATGAATTTATTGTATAATGAGAGAATATAATTTCAAAGGGACAATTCTTTTCTACGTAGGTATTTGCATTCAAAATTAAAATGCTCGGAAATACCAGTAATTATTCTAGCAGATTGCGGCGAACACGAATTCAAACGAACTTCTTAAAATCACGTTTCCGCTTTCAAAGGGGAGGATACTAATTTTCTTTCAACTCTTAAAGAAGCTTCCTTTCAAGGAATGGAAAAAAAAAGTTACAATCGAAATGGAAATTTGCGTTTTAAATCCTCTAATGAAGCTGAGAAGTTTGTAATGGAGGGGCGAAAGGCTGCGAGCAAATTGAGGAAAAAACTTGAAAGGAATCCACTAACGTACCGACAGCAAAAACGTTTGGGAATTTTAACAACAAATCGAAAAGCTAACCATTCATAATGACGTTCCGGAATCCATTTAGATTCGAATGTAATTCGGTATAAATTTACGAATTAAAATAAAATACATTAAAGCTTTTGTAACAAAATTTATTTAAATATATCATCGTGATAGCTAAAACAATGTAACAATCACTGTTGTGTGTTAGCGATGTAATTATTTCAACATTTTAAAACCTTTTGATCGTATGGAGACAATGTTTGTTAATTGTAATTTTTTGTATACAAATACAATTGTGTTACTTAGAAGTATTGTATGTGTATGTGGGGTATATTTAATAGATATGATTCCGTGTCTATTGTTGTACGGCCGCGTTAGCGATGATAGAAGGTGAGTTGATCGTCTCTCCAAGACTCTCCAGGAGTTCTTTGCGATAATCGTCGAAGTCACCGTCAACCTGTCGACATATTACATCATGAAATCTAAGACTTTAATATTAATTTAAATGAAACTAATATTTTCAGATTACTACGACCATTTTTTTTAATTTACATACTTCCGACGTTTCGGTTACTTTGCAACCATTATCACGAGCAGACGAGATGTGATTTTTTTAAGTAACAAAATAACGCGTTGTTAATGCGAAAATATTAGTTTCATTCAACATGTTACTTATTAATATAAATTCTACTTTTCAATAATATAATCTTCTTTAACAATTTAACATATACTAATTAAACTGATCAACTATTATTTATGTACATCTTGTGTTTCTGGTCTTATACAAACATAAGTGGAATTTGAAAAAATAACTATTATATCATAATCCTAACTCCTTCGTGTTTACAACACATTATATAAAATTTTTATTGTTCATTAGGTAAATAAAAATGTTGAAAATGGCATAATATTCCAAATTCCAGTGTGAATGGAGCCAAAGCATAGATAATAAAATAAAATTTATTGTAATCGTGTATAAATGAAACTTAATATAAGATCGAAATTGAATTATTAGCACGAATTTAAGATTAATAATAATAATGGAATACTAGTACAAAGTAGGTATATCAAATAATATTGACGACGTATCAAAAATTGTCTCTAAAACTCGTCACTAAATCATCATTAAGTAAAGGACAAAGTAGTAACGATTTAATTTTTTTTTGGTTAATTTGATAAAATAACAATGTCTGAATTTAAAATATCAGCTTCAAATAACACATTAAGTATAATCTAGCTATAAAATATTATATTGTGCAAACAGATCAGAGTTAGTATGATAATTCTTAAAATACGTAAAAACTCTTTTATCAAACCTCGTTAAAGAAGTTGGATAGAATTATGGAATACAAGATTCATTAATATTAAATTATATTCTGATTCACTCATCAGTTGCTCAATTATATCTGATAAAATCAATTAATATTAATGAAACATCATTTTTTGTAATTTATAGCGTTCCTTGATGAAGCAGGAAAAATCAATGAAAATCTCACTAATCGAAGTTATTACATTGTAGACATTCATGTTTATAACAAAAAAATTGAGTAATATTAGATGAAAAAGCAGTCATGATTACTTGCTAGTAATCTAAAAAGCGCATTATTACAAGTGAGATTTGTTCATATATAATAATTTAAATGTTATTACATTTTAATTATTGTTTGAATTACTTTTTTATAAATTTTAAACCTCCCTACTTTAGCTGCTTTTCTTCCGATAATATATACACACACCAAGTTGTCCACTAAACAATTAGAATATAATAGAAAAATTGTAAGACCATGGACCTATTATTATCATTACAAGTACTGGTAAAAAATAATACTTCAAATAGTTATACAATGAAATCCAAACAGCACTCCGTTCTTATGATCCTACCAAATTACTTAAAATAGTTATACAATATAATGAGATCAAAATACCACGCAATTCTCATGGTCCTTTGACCGTTGTACGTTATACAGGGTGACTGGTGAATTACTATCGATACTTGAGGACGTGATATTTGACGATCATATATGACAAAATAAAAATTAATATAACGTAAATATTAATAAACTTCTAAGTAAAGTTAACCAAAAGTTATGTAATTAATTACGCATCGTGTGAACACCCTACAGATTAGGTATACACACACATACATGCGCGCGTTTGGCGGCGTGGTGTTGTATCAGCACGCCGCCGCACGCGTCCACACTTGGAACGTGTCCACACTTTATTTATTTATACGGAAATTTTGTCAAAAATTAAGTGCCTATTTTTTTACATAATTCGAATGAGAATCATGTACCGAGTATTCTCCTTAAATATTGATAGTAATTCACCAGTCACCCTGTATAGTCATAATAGTTAAAATAGCCATAAAGTTGGACCAAAACACCACGCAGTTGGTATAGTTTTTGGACAATCTAAATGTCCAAATCTTCTTTCAGTTATATATAAGAACAGTATAACAAACCTCGTTAATAGTCTGGTCCTCTATAACGTATAGAGCGCAGTCCGTCTCCCGTATAAGTCGTTCGTCGTGAGACACAATCACCACTCCGCCTTTGTAAGCGTTGATCGCCTCCGCCAAAGCGTCTATACTCTCAATATCCAAGTTGTTCGTAGGTTCATCCTGATTGAACAATATAAGTTAGTTTATCGGCACATATGTAAAATATGATTATAATTCAGTTACTTTTAATTAACCTTACACCTATTTCCATTGAAACAAACTAAGTCTTTAATAAAAGCAGAATTTATGAGCTAACATATTTAAATGATTCATAAAATAATTTGCGAGCTGTAAAAAGGAAACTTTAAACTAAGAGGATAATAATATTCTGAATTTCTATAACACTTCGTTAATTTCATACATTCATCATTTCATTCATTCTTCGTTACATACAGTCTACTACAAGTCTACTAAATCTCTCCTCTTGTTTCAAAGTTTACATAGTCTTTCTGTGTTTACGCGAACTTATTGAGATCCAGGGATTTTAGATTTAACCTTTAACCTAAAGAACTCATCCCTAATTACAAGTCCTTAAAGTACTGTTACGTCATTTCATCCAAATTTACCTGAACATGGTCTTTATCACAAAAAATTCTTTAAAATAAAAAGAAAAGCCCAAAAATCTTACTGGTTTAGAATATGTAATATTAACAAAAGTCTATCTTTAAATTACCTATTATACATATAATATGTATAAATGTAAAAAAAAATATAGTAAAATACATACCAAAATAATAACATCGGGCGCCATCAAGGTCAACTCTGCGAGCGCGACCCTGGCCTTCTGACCTCCGCTGAGATCCTTCATCTTGATGGTGTGAGCGTGGCTCTGGAGCCCGAATGTACCGAGGGCCTTCCTCGCCTTCTCATACTGGAGACCGAACAGTCTCTGAAGATACTCCACAGGAGACTCCTCGGCTGTGAGGTGCTCTCCTGAATGCTGATCGAAACGACCTATCCTCTGTTGATGATAGAAATAGCATTAATAATAATAATAAGCCATTTATTCTCTTCTTCTTCTTCTTCCTGGCAATTTCCCAGCTTTAACCAGGGTCTGCCAATAAGCCATTTACTCTCTCTTCACAAAATACTTGATACACATCATGTTATATAATATGTATAAATATACATTAGTGAGAGACTGGAGCCCGTGATGGGTATAGGAATAGGTATTCCTAATACAGGTGTATTACAGGTCTCCAGGTCCCCATGCCATATTAACAAAGTGAACCCTTTACATTAAACTGTTATATATATGTTATATATAGGTGTTATTAGATCTAAGACTTTCACGAGTATCCATTTAAATGAAACTAATATTTTTCGGATTATTTTCACGTTTTTGTATCTTTGACGCAACCGTCATCTCGTCTGCCCAATAATAAAGTACGTGTAGTAATACAAATATTAGTTTCATTTAGAATTTTGCATTACTTATTAGCCTCATAAACAGAAAGTCAAGTCAATTATCTAATATAATCGACCGATGTTCTGTTGTGATAGTGAGCGTAACATCGTTTATAGAAATTAATTGTGAATATAGCATGTTAAAATGGTGATTATCATCATTATTTCATATAAAAGAAAATATGACCTTAAAATTTTTGAACCAAACAAGTTGTCGAAGAAAACTTACTACAGGATGCCAATTAGAAAAAAAATATATAGTTCATAACACAAAACAGAACTTACCAAACGATGGTTCCTAATCAAATCCCCTCTGATTGGACTCAATTCACCCACAAGAAGTTTGAGGAAGGTTGATTTTCCCACACCGTTGGGACCAACGATAGCTATACGAGAGTTCAGATCGATACCGAAGTCCACCTCCCGGAATAAAGGCTTCTGACCAGGGAAGAAGAAATCCACATCTGTATTAAAGAAAGACACATTATTTTATATTCATTTTCCACAGAATAACAAGACCAACTGCCAGATATTCACATCTCGTCTGCCCGTGATCACGGTTGCTGAAAAGTAGCCGCAACTTCGGGAGTATTTAGTTTTTGAAAAAAATAAAGTAGCGTAGTACGAAAGATATCCGAATAATAATAGTTTCATTTAGAAGACACATTATTTTTATATCTCAATTATCATTACACCGTTACCTTACTATATGATCATGAATAAATTATCCTTCCTTGTTTTTAGTATGTTATTTTTTTAACATTACATAGGTATAAATGTAAAATAAACTCTTTCTAATAAGCAATTTAAATATTACAACAAGATTGATACTAGACTAAATTTTAGTGAACTTAGCTCTTAATTTATTACCAAATAATAAGTCATGTTACATGTTAATAATGTGGCCTATATTATTTAATATATAAATTGACAAAATAATCATTATGAATCATTTAACTAAATGTATGCAACAAAATTGTAAAGTCTATGTTTTCACTCAAATATGTATAAGTTTATATATTACGTGTATTTATTAAACTGACTGTGCAGTCCCAGTAAAAATTGTAAAGATTATGCTCTCAAATTTATAGGTCCATATATCGTCGAGGATAGTGCTAATCCATGTAACTATTATTAGATAATCCCGCGTATCTACATTTGACGAAAATTATCAGAAGAAAGTTTGAGCTGAAATATTTTCTAAATGGACGACTTTTAAGGTAATTTTTTCACAATTAGTAATAAATTAAATACTAAATAATTAGTAGTTACGCGGATTTGCACTATCCCCGACGATATGTATGTATATATGTATTTATTAATATAATGTATATACTGACTGTGCAATCCCAGTATAGGCGGTTGTAGTGGTGGGGGGTCTGGGAAGGAAAATTTGACGAGGTAGTCCTTGGGTCTCTGTAACAGAGTGACCGGCGGCGCCCCATCTTCCGCTTCTTCCCTTTGAGACTTACTTCTATTCTTCTCTTGTTTCCTCGTTAACGCTTCCTTCTGTTTCTTCTCCTGATAATACAACATGAAATTTATAACCTAAGTTCTCATTGAGTATATTTTAAATAGTAAAAGATATAGATAGTATGAAAGAATTTAGAATCAATGGTGATTAGTGACCAAAATGGGAATATTAAACACGCAGTTAAATCTTGTGTCCATTGCTAAAAGTTTCATATTAACAAAATATTAAACTACAATTATTACAGTGATATAAATAAGATGGTATAATAATAATGATATAATAAGCATTTTCTTACAGCAGCCTTCTTAGATGTTCCATGCGCCTTCATTTCCTTCAAACGCTTTTCCTGTTTCTCATACTCTTTTATCATTTCCTTTCTCTTTTGTGCGTACATTTTCTTGAACATTGAGTAATTTCCCTTATAATACAACAGTTTCTGTTGATCCAAGTGTATTATTTCGTTACAAACGTTATCCAAGAATGACTGGTCGTGGGAAACAACTAATAATGTTTTCTTCCATCCTTGTAAGTAGCTGTTAATAATTTATTATGTATAATAAACATTTAAAAAGCTTGAATAATCACATAATATTATATTATATAACACATACTTGTCCAACCAAATAACGGCATTCAGATCTAAATGATTTGTAGGTTCATCGAGAAGTAACAGCGTCGGTTCAATGTATAGAGCTCTGGAAGTGAAAATATGTAGAATATATAATTAACTGATTAATGATGTTATTGACTATCCCAACAGTAGACTTTTAATTGGAAATAATTATGAAACTCAAAACGAAAATGTCGGAAAATACGTTTATATTTTTGATTGCTCACAATTCTTTAATTCAACTTGTAACTTATTGCAAAAATTCTATCAACATTTCTCTACTTTGTACTTCCCACTCACTCAAACAAGTATTTCTTTTTCTCAAACAACCATTCTAAGAAATCATTAGATGATAAGGTGTAAAGTGTGTACTACTACTCTCGACTCAATTCCTTTCTAGTCCCTTTATACCATTATCAATAGAAATTCCCTTGCAAATTTTACCAACTAGTACCAGAGTTAATTAACTTCTCAAATTACAGCTTTTGAAAATCTCACCTGGCGAGGGAGACTCTCATCCTCCAACCTCCAGAAAAGTTCTTGGTAGCCCTATCCTGCATTTCTCTGCTGAACCCTAAACCAGCGAGAATACGACGAGCACGTGGTTCCGCAGAATCCGCACCTATAGCCTTCAACTCGGCATACACCTATAAATTACAAAAACAAATAAATAACATTTATTGTTCTTCTTCTTCTTCTACCTGGCAATTTCCCAGCTTTAGCCAGGGTCTGCCTTACATATTGCGAATAGTTTTTGGCTATTTATTTTTACGACCGGCCGCCTGCCTGACATCAACCCTCTTTGGGAATGAGCATTTATCAGTGATGTCTAAATACTCTTAGAAACTACATATGACTCAGAAAAATCACATTGGTACTTGCCCGGGCCAGGATTGAAACCGCGCACTCATGCATGAGAGGCGGGCCTTTTAACCACTAGGCCACCACTGACTCAATAACATTTATTCATCACAGTAAAATACAGGGTGACTCGTGAATTACTATCAATATTTAAGGAGAATGCTCGGTACATGATTCTCATTCGAATTATGTAAAAAAATAGGTACTTAATTTTTGACCAAATTTCCGTATAAATAAATAAAGTGTGGACACGTTCCAAGTGTTCCAAGTGTGGACGCGTGCGGCGGCGTGGCTAATTAGTCGGGCGAGCGCCGCCGTAAGGTCTGTAAGTCCGTCTTCCCGCGCGCGCGCCTAGCGATCGATCTTACGCGTATACCTAATCTGTCGTGTGTGCGTGTGACCCGTTATTACTTATTAGTAATTAAGTATGACTTATCAATACACAAATCCAGAATACTTGGACATGGTTCGTGCGTATGCGCGTGCAAATGATAGCTTGCCAGGCGCAATCAATTTGTACCTACCTACATAACTGTTTTGTGTCGATAACGCAGCTAGGGTGTTCATACGATGCGTAATTAATTACATAACTTTTGGTTAACTTTACTAAGAAGTTTATTAATATTTATGTTATATTAATTTTTATTTTGTCATATATGATCGTCAAATATCACGTCCTCAAGTATCGATAGTAATTCACCAGTCACCCTGTATAAATAGTAACAATGGAATAAAAATTCAACATTACCTCATTCAATCTATCTTGCTTTTTAAGATCACCATTCTCAATATCCGCTTCCAATTCCTTACACTCCTTTAGCAGTTCTGAAATGTTATTGTTTTTTATATCATTCGCGTCACAGAATTATATAAGAATTGTCCTTGAAATTCCTTTATCATACCTGTTCTTTTGACATCAGATTCTAATAGTGTATCAACTGCACTCATATCACTAGCGGTGACCTCCTGCTCACACAACAGTATATCTATATGGGGAGGGAGAGGGAAGGCACGTTGTGCTAGATGCCTTAACAAAGTAGTCTTGCCGTGACCGTTCGGCCCTACAAGACCATATCTACGACCATTTGCTATCAATAGAGTAGCATTTACGAACAGATCTTGACCTTTAGCGCTAATAGAGAAGTTCTCCACTTTAATGTCCACGGCGTTTTCTAGAGCTGCCATTTGACCTTTAAATAAATATGTTCGTTAATTGTCGTTTGAAAGTATTATAGGTTGTCTAATATATATTGTTTGTATTATTTACCAGCTGTTTTCTGTGCCTGACTAACTGTAAAGTTAGCGTCTAACTCGCTATGTCCTTGACCACCCTTCTTTGTCAATAACTCCATTTGTTTCTCATATTCCTGCTGCTTTTTCAACTTCTTCTTTTCTTTGTGACTCAATTTCTTTTCAGTTTTTTCTTCAACCTATAATATTATATAACATGTATCTATATATGCACAAAGATGTATCTATTTCCCCTTCTCTATACTATCATTAAAATGCTAAGAATATTTAAGCCCAGGAATGGAATGTATGTACATATTTGATTTTAAGTAGTTAATTTTTTTTATTTCTATATTACAAGAAACATGACTCATAAAATTAAAATATAATTACACATTGAAATTAATTATAAGAATAAACATTAATTATTAATAAAATTACCACACATCCTAAATAAAAAATCATTAATAAAAATTATAGTTTTTCTCTTTTATTATGCTGAATTAAAGATAATGTTTGTGTGGAATTAAAAGTATTGATATATGTATGTAGTTATAATTTAAAGTGTACTCTCTAAAGTCACAATATCAAAAGTCATAATTTTTCTAATCTATAATAATTGGTAGAGACTAGCTACATATTGAATAATAACTACAGATTGAGCATGGGCTGACCCAACCGGGGAAGTGCCACCCTCTCACAGAAGATCAGTGTGAAGAAGTCTTTAATGAATGGGTTTTGTCAATGAGTGAGAGAGCTGGTTGCCCTTTCCCTGTTCCCACCTTTTCCAGCCATTTCTTAATCCCACCCCTCCCTCATCCCTAACAACCAAGGATGGCAACCATGACTACAATCAAGTAGGTCTAGTCTAGTACTATGGTCCATCAAGTAGGCTGTTTGTTCATTTGCAACCTTTCATGTAAAAAATAATATCTTTCATAGATTTTTATTAAAAGTCAAACCTTTTCTTCCTGTTCTTCTGGTTCCTCTTCTTTAATCTCAAACTTCTTGAGCTCTTCCTCTATATCATCAATATTGTTTTTCTTTCTATGTTTTCCTAAGAACAAAGATATAAATGTTAAAGAGTTATTATGATGAAAACATGATAATAATTAAGTACAATATTACGATACCTTTTTTCACAATAGGTTTTAAAACATCTTTTTCATCTTCAGATTCCATTTTCAATTCTTTGTCACTCTCTTCGTCGGGCCAATCATCTTTTTTATCTTTGCCTATAAGAAATTGTATACTGATTTTAAAATGTTTTTTTTTTTAAGAAATTTAATATTGAAAGAAAGCTACACTGCCAAGGTTAATTCTACAAATGTATAGTGTTTGTAACAAATTCATATAGCAGGTAGATAAATAATGTTTGTGTCAGTGGTGAGTCTACGTTGAAGCAGTAAATTGTGTGCCACGAGTTCAATGTTTTATTTCATTATTACTCATAAATATAACATTTTGGCGACGAATTAAGAATCCACGCATTAAATAATGTTTTTGTGAACTTTGTGAGTAAAAATATAATGACGTCGAGTGCAAATATCATGTTTGGTGGTAACCTCGTGTTCGATCATCGTGCACAGGAATGGAGCATTTTTATAAGCCGTTTTAAACAATATTGCACGGCAAATAATATTACCGACGCAAATGACAAAGCTGGTATTCAACGGCGTGCACTGTTACTGACTGCTTTAGTGGAAGACACATACCGCGTCGCAAAAGATTTGGTTTTCCCCACCGACTTAGACAATGTAGATTATGGAGTGTTATTGCAAAAGTTAAATAGTCATTTTATGTTAAAAAAAAGTACTTTTGCCGAGAGATACATGTTTTATAAGGCCGAACAACGACCCGGGGAAGACTTAACGGAATGGGCGGCGCGAGTGCGCAGTCTCGCACAGTATTGCGAGTTTAAATCAGATCTCGAGACAGCATTACGAGATAAGTTTGTACTGGGATTAGAAAACGCTAAAGAGAAAGAGAAATTGTTTGCTGAAAACATAGAACATCTGACGTTTAACAAGGCCTTGGAGTTAGCTACGAGTGTGCGGTGTGCGCGGTTGGCGCTCATGAACGCGGCGGCGGCGGCGGCGTCGGCGACGCATGACGGGGCGCAGTCCCTGGGCCGAGCACCGGGTGCCGGCGGCAGCGGCGCCGTGTACGCGCTGCGCACCCGCCGCCCCCCGGCCCCCGCACCGCGTGATAGTGCTCCGAGTGTGAAACATGTTTGTGTAGTGTGCGGTTATAAAAACCATACGAAAGATCAGTGTCGTTACGCGAACTATACGTGTCGTAAATGTAATGTTAAGGGTCATTTACAGCGAATGTGTAAAGCGTATAAAATGAAATAAAACATTGAACTCGTGGCACACAATTTACTGCTTCAACGTAGACTCACCACTGACACAAACATTATTTATCTACCTGCTATATGAATTTGTTACAAACACTATATCCCTCCACCACTATTGCCAAAATAAATCCAAAATAACTTAAACTAAACTTAAACTATATCTTTTTGGTCCGTGTACTGCGGATCGGAAATCTGCGAGCTGGTTTGGTTGTAACATCAGACCGTTCATTAACAGGAAGTACAACATCAGGAGTTTGTTTGTCTGTCATTGGACTAGACACCACAGAGTCTGAACCTTCATTAGAGACCACCTCCTCCAACCGTAATTCAGAATCACCTGGGGTTGCCTCAGGCGCGGTTGAAGGACCAGGAGTACTAGCATCTGAGACTAAATCACTTATTGGAGTTGTAGGTGTCGATTCTATAATTGGACTATTAGACTCTATTGTAGATTCAGACGCTACCTCCTGAGTCAAATTAGTATGAAAATCTCCGATTGTACTTATTTCATCAGAGTCAGGAAAATTATAATCTCCCTTATGCAATAACATTTGATCTATATGTTTTTTTACATTAATTTTAAATTCCGGAATATATATAAGAAAAAGTCTAGATCCAATTTTCTTTTTAATAATACCTATTTTCCACATATATTTTGTTCCATTTTTTTATAAAACTGTTTTATTAAGACTTTATCTCCTATTTTGAACTGGATCTTACGAGTTCCGCCAAACTGTTTACGCTGTGATGTCTGTTTGGAAACAACATTATCATTAGCTATGGATGACGACATTGGATGAGGTAAAACTTTCATAGGTTTCATAAAATCTAGTCTAGAAAGCAATTTTCGTCCTAACAACAATTCTGCCGGAGCAAAACCGGTAGTGCAGTGTGTTGAATTCCTATAATCAAATAAAAATTTTAATAATTTCATTTTAATTATTTTTGGACTATTATTTTGCATAAGAATAATTTTTAGAGATTTTTTTATAGTTTTAACCGTATTTTCGGCTTGACCGTTCGATGCCGGGTGGTACGGTGCAATCGTGACATGTTGTATATTGTTCAATGTACAGAAACTATTAAACTGATTAGAACAAAAATTAGTCGCATTATCCGTTACAAGAGTACGCACTAGCCCAAACCTACTAAACAATTCACATAATTTCGCAATCACAGCTTCACTATCCGTAGTTGGCATATCAAAACACTCAACCCATTTTGAATGTGCGTCCACTGCAATAAGAAAATTTCTACCATTCAGCGAAAACATATCAAGATGCACCCGCTCCCACGGGCGCTGCGGGAACGGCCAAGGCGCTAGAGGCGCGCGCGGTGGGGCGCTCCGCATGGACATGCACATGCTACAAGAACCGATCTTATCCTCAATATGTTTGTCGATGTCCGGCCACCACATACGAGACCGCGCTTCCGTTTTAGTTTTTAACTATACCGAAATGGGATGAATGCAACTCATTCAACATTCGTTCACGAAATATTGTTGGAATAATTACCTTATGTCCACGTAAAATACAACCATTCTCTAGTGATAATTCAAATCGACATAAATAATAAGGTTTTAAGTTCATATCTAACACTTTACGTGGCCAACCATTTTTTATGAATTCGGCTACCTGTTTCAGAATCGTATCGCGCTCCGTTTCATATCTAATTTCATTAACTGTAACGGGTTTTAACAATGTGTCAGAAATAAAATTAATTAAACAACAACGATCTAAATCGTCCGCCAACAATTCTGGTTTATCGTCTTGAGGTCCACAACGAGACAAGTAATCCGCGACATTGCTGTCTCCCTTAATATATTCGATATTAAAATTGTAAGCCGATAAAAATAACGCGTAACGCTGTAGCCTGTTAGCTACTAATTCGGGAATTCCTTTTTTCGCGCCAAAGATAGACAGCAGCGGCTTATGATCCGTGCGTAAGGTGAATGGAACCGGGCGCCCATACAGATAGTGATGAAATTTTTTAATTGCGAAAACAATCGCGGCCGCTTCTTTCTGTATCTGGGCGTAATTTCGTTCGGCTGTAGATAAGGAGCGCGACGCGTACGCTACCACGCGCTCGACGCCATCCGCTTGCCGCTGTGACAGCACCGCGCCGAGCCCGGCGGGCCCCGCGTCCGATGTTACAATAGTCGGTAACTCCGGATTGTAATGAGCTAAAACTCGATTAGAGGTTAACTCTTGTTTAATTTTAATAAACGCCTTCTCTTGAGACGGTCCCCAAGTCCAATTTTCACCTTTTTTTAGTAATAAATGCAATGGACTTAAAACACTTGACGTATTAGGAACAAAACACCTATAATAGTTCACCATTCCAAGAAACGATTTTAGTTCACGCACATTTTTAGGGCACTTAGCCTCCACTATCGCTTTAATTTTTTGTTTTGATTTATGTAAACCGTGTCTGTCAATCACAAAACCTAAATACTCTACAGATGATTTAAAGAATTCACACTTATCCTGCTTTAATCGTAATCCTGCATTTTGTAATATACTTAAAACCCGTTCTAATCTTTCTAAGTGAATAGCTCTAGTCGGACCTGTAACCAAAATGTCGTCTAGAAAAATACAAGTGCCCTCTATATCCGATAATAATTGTTCCATAGTACGTTGAAACACAAAGGGAGCATTCGCTAACCCAAAAACAAGCCTATTAAAACGGAATAGCCCTTTATGTGTGTTTATACAGGTCAGATTTTTAGAATCATCCAAAACAAATTGATTGTAAGCTCTAGAAAGATCTAATTTTGAAAACTCTATCCCTCCATGTAACTTGGCAAAAAGATCCTCAATTTTAGGTAAAAATGATAATACATATAGGACATAAATAATAAATAAAATTAATTAAATAAAAAAATAGCTTATATTTGTAAATTCATTTCGACAAAGGTTAGTCTCGCTTATAAAACATTTTAACTTCTGAAGAGTTCTGAATCAATATTTCTATACAGTTAATATAAAAAAGTTAAATTAAAAGATACATCAAAATCCTGTATAAAGAATTAAAAAGTAAATTAAATAAAAAAAAATACCTTTTTTGCTTTTCGATTTAACTGATTGTGCGTTACTTGAAACATTGCTCACAATTGACTTAGAATCTTCCAGATCCTCATCATCCGATGATTCAGCTACTGCTACTTTCTTTTTATTTTTACCTATAAAAATATAATTTTGAAAAAAGTTTCTAAGATAATAGTCTTAAAGCTACTTTGTTATTTGAGAAATTCTTCATATAGATATGATTTACAGTAAAGGATTTCATATATTGTATTGTTATATTTATGAGTAATATGTATATTTATAAAAATATACTTGATACAAACGGTATTTTAATGTTGATTACCTTTCTTTTTAGTAACAGGTTTTACAACTTCTTCCTCAGGTTCCTCTTCCTTAAGTTCAATATCACTATTATCATCTGACCAATCATCTTTCTTTCCTTTACCTAAAAGAAATCTTGTGTTAAAGTTATGTAAAATGTGGAACATATTAAAATCTCAAAAATTACATTCAATTATTGTTAAACATAAAAGACAGAACATTAATAATGTAAAAACTAACCTTTCTTTTTCTTGCTTTGTTTAGACAAACTTTTATTAGCTGTAGAGGTTGCACTGCTTTTTGCTGACTTGTCATCATTTTCATCTTCTGATAATTGTTCTATGTTTTTTTTAGCTATTTAATAAAATATTAACCATCAGAAACGTTAGATAATATATAATTTATATTAAAACATTCGTTCTAATTTATTTATAATAAGTATAATAATAGTTGCAATGTTTACGTCACATGAACAAATACAACTTAATACCTTTCTTTTGCGACTTTTTCACTGGTTTGGGCAAATCTTCTTCGTCTGATAACTGGGCTTTCTTTAAATTATCTCCATCTTCTCCATCACTAAAATCATTAAGAGCCTTGCTCTTCTTTTTACCTTTTCCCTTACTTTTTGAGGTTATATCGGATGTTTCAAGTATATTCTTTGTTTCTTCGAAATCATCGTCCAATTTAACTTTTTTTTTATTGCCCTTCTTCTTAGACATGCTTAGTTTTTTGAAAAACTAGACTAAAAATAATTAGCTGCAAATAATTTAAGTAAAACTTTTATACATACAAATATGACACGACTAGAAACTTTGATAGTTCAACTAGTGTAGTTGAAACTTCAACTGCACTTTGATAGATGTTGACATTTGACAGTTAAAACTTGACAAAACGATTTTGGTATTGAGGAATGTAACAAAGTCTATATGAACAATTTATCCAAAGGCTCGTCATATACCTTTGGTTTTGCAATAAGTTACATTACCTGCACAGTAGGCATAATCGAAGTGTATCAAAAAATTTAATAAAAGATATACCAGATGAGTTTTGCATCTCTTATTTCTTAATTATTAAACCACAATAAATAAGTATTTTTTTTTTTCGAAACGCCTTTGTATAAAATTTTAATAACAGCAAACTATGACCAAAAAGTCGATTATTTGTAACATTATATGAATGGCTACTTGAGCATAGCTTAACCTATTTAAATTAATTCAATTACAAAATATAGTCTATCAATATAGGTATTCCTCGAGTTTATGATTTTAACGAATGGTATTCTAATTACAATCTTTATAAGACTAATATATTAACAATTGATAGAAGTTAATATATTTGTATTTATAGATAAGAGAATCGTTTTCGGCAAAGATTTTTCTATTAGGTTCGTAAAAACCACGAGCGTTGGTGCTAAAGTAGGAAATATAGCCATTGTAGATATTTCACTTAAAATTATTACATATGTATGTAATATGTTCAACAAAAACGACAAAATGAAATGAAATATGTAATTCAAATTATATTTATTTAATACATACTAAACACAGGAAATTTAAATTTAAGTTAATGTATTTTAATAAATTTTATAGTTTAAAAATATAATACTAATGTGTATGCAATTGTAATAAAGACAACGTTATTACTTTTTAAATAAGCTGAGCTTGTCATTATATGTATCACCGCTTCTCTATAGCTAGGTTTCTTTGGATACGCCTCTAAAGCTTCCACTCCTGGCTCGGCAGCTTTCGCTATTTTCTCATCGATCCAAGCTTTAAAAGAATACGTTGGTAGAGCATCTACCATATGTTTATTCAAAGCGTAAGTTGACAATATTTCTGCAGTACACTCTGGTTGACCTTTAGTTACTATTCCAACGAGTTCATTATTAAATAAAACTGGACCTCCTTTGTCTCTAAAGCATGTTGAAACTTTTGTTTCAATGCAATCTATGTATGCCCTAATTACATCTTCATTTTTCTCCCTAGCTTCTAAGCCCACAAACTGTAATTTTTTTGGCTGTCCTACTTCGGCGTTTAAGCCAAATCCTAAAACTTCAACGTCATTTAAAAGTTGAGCAGAAGTATAGTTACTGAGAGTAATCTTGGAAGCTAAAGTATTGTTATGTTTTTCGGTATAAATGACTGCAACATCTTTTCCAGTGTTAGGTCCAGTATAAGACGGAAAATTTTCACTTTTGATTACATGCAGCGAAAATGTAGTATCATCTTTTTTATCACTCGTTCCATTTACTAGTACGTAGCTTATTGAGTCAGTACATTGAGCTGTTGTAAGAATAAGACCGTTGGCAATAACGGTTCCAGCACAGACGTATTCATTTTTAGATGACATTATTGAAGCCATAAATGGAAATTGATTCTGTGTGGCGGTTCTAATCTCATGCATTAATATTGCCTTTTTTCTGGTACAACCTGTAACATTTGCTTCCGGTTCAGGAACATCAGCAATATTCAAGGAATCTTCATTCTCATCATCGTCGCCTTGATTATCTAAGCTTCTCTCTTTTCCTCTAGCATAAATTTCATTAAACTTTAATAAAAACAATATTAGAGCTAAAAATCGCAAAATACTCAATTTCCCCTTCATTATTATAATTCTCAAGATGTAAGAATTCTACGTTTTTTCTTTTTATAATTATTCTTCTTATACGTTCTGACAAAATTAAGACTTATTACCGGCCAGAAATTATGTTAAATGCATGTATACACAAGGTATATTTTTATAAACCAATTCGAAATATTTATATCGTGAGTCATTAAACGTAAAAATAAATTTAAAAAATAGTAGTATATTAAGGACTTTTTTCGATTCTCAATCAAAACTACATTTTAAACTATAATTATTTTTATTCTAATAAGGCTCCGAAATACTTGTTTTTATAAGAGCTTAAAAGGATTCAATTATTCTATTGATTGTTTCAATATGATGAGACACCAATTTTTTTATTTATTTGTGAAATATACAAACCAATAAATAAAATAAACCGAATAAAAAAGGCATACTAATAAATAATAATAAAGGAATGTTCATTATTTTCAATTTATATGATGTATTTTACAATTGAACTACATTTTATCACAAAAACTAAGCTAAACTAAAATCTCAATCGCTTTTGTATATTATATACATATCGTGTAACTTCTAACACCGAAGTGGTAAAGTGAAAGGTAAGGTGAGGTAAAGTAAAATTATTGTTATTCGTTCAGTTTTTCACTGATCTAAAATCTATTATCTGAATCATTATATTTATTTTTAGAAGATAAAGTAGATCGATTGATTTTTCTATTTACATTTGCATATCTTGTCTATCATCATAATGAGATATAAGATTTTCGCTTATATTCAATGAAATAAAACTAATATTTTTCGGATTTACTACGTTTTTATTCTTATTTTCATCAACATTCTCCCGACGTTTCAGTTACTTTGCAGCAATCGTGATCATGGGCAGACGATATATCTGTTACCAATTAATTTTTGAGTTATGATTAATATGTAGATTAAAAACACGATTTGTATGATTTACGTGGCTGTAAACCAAAAATACGGTTTAACTTGAACAGTATTTTCAAAATAACCTTTTTTTTCTCTAAATTTTGAATAAAATATAAAAATATAAAATATCGGGCACCAGTGATCATTTCCACTATCCCCTACTGTACTTTTCTACTTTTGTGTAGTTAACTAAGTTGGCAATACTGTTTGACTTTACTGATATTAACTTGTATCCAGAGCTGTAAGAACATTTAAAAAAATACTGATACTATTAATGATTGACGGTAGTATTTTACCTACCTATTCATATTTCATATGAATTTGTCAATTTTGACATAAAATTGGAATGTTTAACTAAATGTTAACTTCATTTGTCTATTGTATAATATAAGGAATTTTCAAATTTATTTATTTGTATAATCCGTAGGTAGTTGTCATATTTTCCATTTAGTAAAGGATTAATTTATATTTGATAATCAAAGATACGAAATATGACAAAATCATGACTAGTAATTCAGATGAGTTGGTTTGTATTGTTGTTTTACGATTTTAGATATTTTGTTCCTGAATCCATTGAATCGTTACTCAAAAAATCTTTCAATATCACAGGATAGGGTTCGCAACATAGTGCCTTCCGCGAGAAGAAGCATTCATAGCCAGAGTAATAATAATTCAAGAACACAAAACATGGGGAAATATGGTCTAAAAAGTAACCTTAATTTACCAGACCCAGGAATTGATGAGGTCGACAATATTATGAGGTAAGGTGCTAAAAACTAATCTCCCTTAGTAGCAATAATTCTTTTCTTTCTTCGTAATTGTATACAATTTTATTTAATAATTGATTAAAGTTTTTAGATATAACTTTAATTTCTTACAAATAAAAATATTCACCAACACAGTTTTCATAACAATTTCGTAAACTTATAATTTGAATAGATGCTTAAAAATTTAAATACTTGCTAAACTTGGGCTCAAAATATTGGTTCTGACTTACATTAAGATTGTAGCTTATTTTAGAAAGCCACCTTATAATTAATTAATTATATAAAATACAGTACTCGGGTTTAAGAACTTTATTTAAAAGAATATACATTCACTGAAAACAATAATACAATTATAAAAATATTGTTGGGTAGTTTGACAATTCGTACTGTACAGTCGATGCATAGAAACAAAGAACTTCATATAACAACTATAATAATTTTATTTTCTAGTAAAATACCAAACACAAAGCCAACACCAATATTGAATGAAAATAAGTCACGCAGATATTCCTACCATGTTAATGAAGAAACTGATGATGATGATGAATATGATGAGTGAGTATTAAATATACCAGTTAATTTATATGTAAGGCATTCATTCATGAACCATACATATCCACTGGTACTAACAAATATATACAGGGTGACTGGTGAATTACTATCGATACTTGAGGACGTGATATTTGACGATCATATATGACAAAATAAAAATTAATATAACATAATTTTAATAAACTTCTAAGTAAAGTTAACCAAAAGTTATGTAATTAATTACGCATCGTGTGAACACCCTACTGATTAGGTATACACTCACACACACACACGCGTGCGGCGGCGTGGTGTTGTATCAGCACGCCGCCGCACGCGTCCACACTTGGAACGTGTCCACACTTTATTTATTTATACGGAAATTTGGTCAAAAATTAAGTGCCTATTTTTTTTACATAATTCGAATGAGAATCATGTACCGAGTATTCTCCTTAAATATTGATAGTAATTCACCAGTCACCCTGTATATATAACATATTGTCCCTTAGCTTATAACACTGCTTAAGTCATTTTTACCAACTTTACAGGAGATGAAAAAAACTGTTTACTTTAAACTATCTGTATTATTACTATTGCTACTTCATACATACACTAGTTAGCGGTTAAGAAATAATTATTTATACATGTTTTGACGATTTTGGTTTGATGTGCAATGCGCAGCTTCATCAAAATGCATTAAAATGTAAAAACCGCCAATTTTCAACTTCAGCAGTGTTGTTAGCTAAGGAACTATATGTATATATATCTCTTGTTAATGCCATAATTCATTACCATTTCATTATCATAAGTCTTATAATCATTTGCTTTCCATCACAATTCAACAAATTAATAATCAAATAATGAATTATGAGAATCAGAAATGGTAATGTTTGTTGCAGAAATATATTGTCAAAATCCTCTCCACCAATACTATTATCTTACAGAATGGGTTTTGATACTGCCATTGAAAATATGTCAGGGCGATGTATTAATAGTGATTCTTCATCATTTAACTACAATTTCAAAGAAACATCTCCAAATCGTCAAAATAATATAAATAGGAAACCTTCACCAGAATCTAATAGCAAGAAAACAGGTTTTAATGCAGTCCTATATATTGTTCTACCCATCATTGCTTGTGTTGCAAGCATGATGTTGTATAATATGAGAACTATCGGAGAATCCGAAATAGATGTATATGATGAACAAAGCTTTTATAATGATGTCAAACATTTAGGAATAAAGTATAAGGTACCGGATAATGCTATCCTGAAAGTAAGGACAGGTAAATTATAATGGATAAAATATTTTATAATATCTGTTTCATTAATATTTAAAACACACCAGTTTTCATATGAAACAGTTGTTTTGTTATAAAAAAACTTAAAAGTTTGTATATATATTAAATCTGATTTTAAAACTACATTAATTTAAACTGAGAACTTTTATTGCAGGTATTACAACAATATCTGAGAAGCATGATACCGGCTCATTTATTTTTACATATAATAGCGAAAACATCAATTATAATCCTATAAAATTTGATCAATTCATTGAAGATATAGCTGCAAAGGCATCGAAATACCTACGTATGTAAAACCTTACTTTCTCTTCAGCATTTTGTATGTGAATGTAAATAATAAGTAATATTAAAATTATAGGTAATGATACAAGGGAAATTCACCATCTGGTTATCAATCCAACTAATCTTATAGTACAAACGGAGAAGGAATTTATGAATTTTTATCAAAAAGATGTTGATGAAAGAGGTGTTATGCTTATTAAGGATGTGGATGACATCCCGTCTCATCTCGCAATGGCCTTTCATTATTATTGTGATGAATTCAACCCTTTAGTCAAGAAGAGCGCTATATTCCTAACATTGAATTTGGCTAAATGCACCAATGGTTCAGGTAATATACTCTAATATTATAACAGTGGATTATAATTTTTGGTTTTATTCTAATGATCTATAGTGTATATTCTGTAATCAATTGCAGTTAATAGCTCATTAATTCACAATACCATAGTATTGTAGTTTAAAAGCTTTATAAAGTGTTTAGAAAATTAATGTGACTGGAAACAGTATCATTTTTTTATTTTCTTATAAATTATAAATTATAATAATTGACATGTTTGTAAATATCAACAGATTTACAAAATAAGAAATTATTTCTCTGTCCATAACAACTTTAATGTGTTTTAAAAATCACTTATTGTTTTAGATATGAATCCAATTCCTATTATAACTTTTTTTCAAATATTTTATACTAGCTTTTGCCGCGACTCCGTCCGCGTGGAGTAGTGACTTCCGGCAGATTTTTGGTTCTTCCCACATAGTTCCCGTTCTTGCGGGGTTTTCGGAATGGTCGAGTTCCCATAGAATTTTCAGGATAAAACTTATGTTTTTTTTATTCACAATGAAGTACTCTTAACTAACAACATATTTATTTGTTTATTTGAATAAAGTTTAATATTATTATGTTGATACAACTTAAACAAATTATTTCGACCAAATTAGGTACCATAAAAACGGTTTTTGTGAGTTAATCTTAAAAGATAGACATATACTGTCGCGGACTGTTTTTTTAGATCATTAAAAGAGCTATTATTCTTTAATACATATTTTTTGTGTATCTTGAACTGTTTTCACCTCGCACGCAATGGAAGGCTTCAAAGATGAAATAATTTCTCCCGTTTTTTACACATTTACCACTATATCTTTGGTCCTATTGGTCGTAGCGTGATGTTATATAGCCCACAGCCTTCCTCGATAACTGGACTATCCAACACAAAAAGAATTATTCAATTCGAACCAGTAGTTTCGGAGATTAGCGCTTTCAAACAAACAAACAAAGTCTTCAGCTTTATAATATTAGTATAGATTTTAAACATCTTTGACAAGTATTGTTTGTAAATATTATTTTTAAAAATGAAATTTGCTTCGTTTACAGAATCAAAATCAACGCATGATTATATAGAAAAGTGCTTAGCAAGAAAATGGAATACAATTGATCAAGATAAATTAGGACCATTGCTTACTAGAGTTGTAAATATTGTTATAGATGCGACTCGTATACTGTAATTTAAGTACTTATATTGATAACTTATGTTAATCTTATAAGTGATTAAAATACCCACATATTTGATGTTCAGTTCTTTACCTGAAAACAGATTTCGTCTGCATGTAATCTTCTTATTGTAACTCGATCTCGAAGTGTATTATAGTGTTTCAGTGAGATATTAAATATTATTTAATAAATGTGTCAATATTTATTTATTTGTTTTAAACTGAAGTACAATTAAAGCTTATATAAATTATTAATTAGTTAAATTACTTAATTTGTTGTGATTAGTTAAGTTACATAAGCCTGTTTTTTTAACCAACAATATTTTGTTTTATTTTAATGGTTATGTTTTATAAAAAAAAAAACATTTGTAAAACCTCAAAGCCTTTTAATTTTTGTTTTCTTGACTGAAAAATTATGTTGCCACAATATTGATATATCTTTCTCAACTCGATAATATTGAAACAGGATGGCCATAACCATACAAAATACCACTCTTGTACAAGAATCTGTTCTGTTTTCTTCCATAGAAAAACCCTTCTAAAAAAATAAATAATCCCAATATAGAAAGGTGTTTTTTGTAAACTCAATATCATGTAAGAAGAGCTTATATTGTTACTTACTCTCTTTGCGGGTAGTACAAAAATTTATAACATCGGCTCAAATATTAAACCTTCATGAATAAAATTCCAGCTTACATACCTCTACATAATAGCATTAATTAAAGTTTAGATGTCCTCTGGTACTACCACTTTAAATCATAGGTAACAAGAAAAGACATGTATATAGTATGTCTGTGTCTTCAGAACTGTTATAATACTTGCAAGACTCCATACATGAGTGGTATCTAGCAAAGATTGTTTGATTGACTAGAATAATTCATTCATTCAATTAGAAACACTGTCTGGTTTTGCAGCAATGCTGAGACTGAAGTTCTAAGATGTGATGGCTTCAAAATTTTTGTATAATCAGCTGAACATACAATACTTAGAATTTAGAATTTTTCATAGAATGATTAGCATATAATTTATATGCATTTAAACCATTCGCAAGCTTGTTAATCATTCTTTCTGTTAGTTAAATTACTTCTGCACATCTTTCTGACTTCACCGTCGACTACCTAACTAGATATATTGAATTTGATGCACCTCATTTAGTTGAAATCCAAACCAAAGAGATTGCATATCTATAAACTCAGCAATAATCGATCAAAACTATTGACGAGAAATTAGTACTTTCACTAGAAAATCTCAGATTTCAGTCACAAATGTAGATGGATGCTAAAAACTTTTGTTATATTACAATGAGGGTGCTTATGTAATTATAGTGTGAGTACACTAATTTTCTATATATGTACTCCTTTCAAAATTGCTACGGAACATATAAGTTGCTCAGCAATAAAAGGTTCCATTTCAAAGCAGGATTTATTCTCAAACTCATAGTATTGTTATCAAAAGTGAAACTAAATTATATATTAAATCACATATACCACAAGTCAGTATTACTTTTTATTATCACTCAGCCAATCATACATAATATAGGAATACAAATAAATAATTTTATAAATGACAGGAATAATACACACTACTGCTGTACATTCCAATGGGCGCTTTGATCGGGCGTGCTAAGGTCTGGTGCTTCTGTGGGTTCTTCTAAAGAATCTGCCTCGAGAACGTTGTTATTGCGTGGGGAGGAATACGTGCGCAGCTCTTCTTCCTCGTCCTCATCATGAGATTCTTCGGAATCATCCGATTCATCATTGCCTTAAAAGCATATATATTTCAAATTATATGAAATGAACCTTTCGTAATACAAGAAGCATCTTTAAACTTTTAGCAAATTTTGTTTGATAATTACCCTCTTCATCCGAATCATCTTCTTCTTCCATGGGTTCAGCTTCTATCTTACCAAGTGGTGTACGTTTCATATACTGGTTTCCAACAGAGTTCAGCTAAAACAATAAATGTTATAATATAATGCGCTGAAATATATCATAATATTTATTTTAAAATCTAGTTAGAATCTACAGGCCATACCCATTGTTGATGGGCTTGTTCTAAACTAGTCAACTCGGCGTCCTCATCACAAGGGCTGTCGGCGTTAAACCAAGACGGATCCACCAGACGTGGATATAGAATTGGAAATGGTATATTCATGATCGGAAATTTATCAATAAAATTATTAACAGGTAGAAAAAAATAACGTTATTAACTTGAATGTTTATTTTGAAGAATGTCACTAATTGACTAATTCTTTTTTTACTCTGTATCAAAAGAAGCACAAGTTTATAGCGTACAGCCAAATTTAAGACTAAAATATTATATGTTCGATCTTAAACATTCAAATGTTATTAATAATCTTAAAACCTATACGGTATATACTATTTAAAAAAATCGATTCTATAGATGTATACATTTTTATTTCCTTATATTTTCTACCTTCAAACTAACCTTGACTTAAATTTATTTAAGAAAGGATATTGTTATTTACAACTTCGAAAAATTTCATGCTGTTAAATTCCAAAATTAAAGAAATAACGAAGTTTAATAATACATTGATGCGAATCAATCTTATTTGACTATGGTGATTTAATCTTATCGCAACCATAAACAGAGATTTAACGAGCATTTGTTCATTTCAAATATTTGTAAACATATTAAACGAGATAGGTTTCGGTGATTTCCGATGACAAAATTATCAGTAAGCATTCATCCGTACGATTAAGTCAATACTATTAATTATATACGAGAAAGGTAAACTTATAAAATGTTTTCCTATTTCGTTCAATTCATAACACTGATACTGGTAATCTATTTTTAGTTAAATACTCGTGCATTTGAAGTATTACTGTTATCATACCAATAATATAATATTTTTAGGTAGTGAGGAGTAAATGTTTCAGTATTGAAAAAGATTCATATTTGTTAGATAAAAGTCCTCCAGAAAATGGAATATCTGAATATATAATTTCTAAAGGATATTTGCCTAAAGAAAGTGAATTACCAAAATCGTCCATTATAAAAAATATAGGTGAGTACAATGGATTTGCTGGGAACGCACAACTTCGAAAACGTTGAGCATTTATTAAAACCTAATAAAAATACAAAAAACTATACAATAACGTAAAAAATCAAAAATAAAAATAATATTTTAAACACTAAACAAAAGGCTCAAAAGAAATTCGACAAAAATATATAAAGTATAGTCTATTATATTTTTTTAACTATTGACTGTGATACCCAAAAGTATAATTTAACAAACAAAACACGGTTGTTTGTTAAATTATACTTTTGGGTTATTGGTTGGGAAGTTGGTTAGTAACCATAGAAATAAATAGAAATATTTACTTGAAAGTTATTATTTACAGACAATGATGTTACCTATCTTTTATCAAAGTTATCTGACGATGAACTTATTCGATTATTAAATGAAAAGCCAAATAAAAATATTTATGATTTAAATGACGTTGTTCAAATAGCATTCGGAAAACAATCAAAAGATTCAAGAGTACCCATTATTCTGAAAAATTCTGAAAATTTACGAGATCAGAAATATAAAAGCATTCAGGATACTTATAGTAAAGACAACAGCAATACGGCATTCTTCAAATTAGATCAACAGCAAATATATCCCGAGAAACAGAACAACAAGGCCAACTTTTTGGCTTTAAACAAACTTAACAACCTTTTAGTGAGGCGTCCTCGTGACCAGTTAATGGCAGATAATTTAAATGACGAGAAAAGAGAGCTATTGTTTGACATTCTTGTGGCGCAACTGAGAGCTCTGTGTTGTAAAAGCTCGTCAAAGAAATTACCATTAGAAGAAATCAGTAATATACACAACGTACAACTTGGCAGGGAACCACAAAAGAAAGGACAAAGATTGAATGAATTTATGTTCCTAATAGTCAACGATGAAGTTAAAAACAACGCCAATGATGACGATTTGATAACAGTTGATCCGGATACCTTGGAAAAAAATAGCAGTGTTTTGCTATTAGGGCCAATAACAACGCCACTAACTGATGGCCAACTAAAAGTTGTCGTATGTAAAAAATATTTGAAATGCTATAATAGTGACTATATCTTTATAAATTCACATATGTTAAGAATTACTCTTAAAGGCGGTAAACTTTTCAGATGAATCGAATTTCTACTGAATTATCTAAACCTGAATACTCATCGTTGCTTAAGCAACTCTCTGAGGGCACCGTGAGTAATACGAACATAAGTCTGATGAAAAACTTTATTTTTGGTCCTGAAACTCGGCGATATATTAAGGCTCATAGATGCAATCATCAAGCGAAATTGTCCAAAGTTTATGGAGGACCTAAATGGTTACTTTGCACTGGCTATTTAAATGTAAATAGACCAAGTCTTTACGATTAATTTTGTTCTTTAATATGTTTTAAAATAAATAATAAGTATAACACAACCATTTTCTCTTACGAAGTACTAAGACTTATTGTTATTAATAAAGAAATTCCGGAAAAACAGTCCCTAAACTAACACGACACAAGTATCACATTTTTCGAGTTTCCTATTTATACCGTTTACAAATAAAAAAAACCTGAATAATATGATATAATCATGATTGATAAGTTTGTAGGATAATTGTATTAATTTATTTTTAATATAGTACCTAATAAGAATAAAATAGTTAAATGTTAAAAGTTTTAGAACGCTTTTTGTTAGAAAAATCCGATAGTCAGCTTCATTTCCTTTTCTTCTGTAGGTTCATGTTGATTACTGATTAAATCTTATATCGATTTCATTGACTTCTTTAAATAGATATGTATATAAATACTCTTTATGACTTAAAGAAAATGACATTCGATCTAGTCATGTAGTACGTACTCTCCGTTTTTTGAAAGCAACCATTAAAAGCCCACAAATTGGATATCAGCGGGTTTTGGAATCCTTTTTCATGTCCCTGCAGTCCTTAAATCATCTAGAAACCTATAACTATGCTTTCAAACGTCTAGTAACTGCGATCGACGTCGTAAGTCAACTACCAGCTAGAATTTATATTTAATACTAGTTTTTGCCCGCGACTTCGTCCGCGTTAGTTTGGTCAAGAGTAATATATGTAGGTATAGCTGACCAGGCAGTGGTGGCCTAGTGGTTAAAGGGCCCGCCTCTCGTTGCCGAGGGCGCGGGTTCGATCCTGGCCCGGGCAAGTACCAATGTGATTTTTCCGAGTTATATGTACTTTCTAAGAGTATTTAGACATCACTGATTAATGTTGATTCCCAAAGAGAGAGTTGATGTTAGGCAGGCGGCAGGTCGTAAAAACAAATAGCCAAAACTATTCACAAACATGTAAGGCACACCCTGGCTATAGCTGGGAAATTGCCAGGTAGAAGAAGAAGCTGACCAGGCAAACTCTATTCCGTCTTAGAGGCCATAAATAATCAGGTTTTTCCTGTTTCAATCAAACAGAATGATTGACATGTTAGTTAGTTGTCAAATCTAATGTCAAAAAAAACGTTTGTATGGGAAATAGAAAAGGGCTGTTTTGAGGGTTTTCCCGGCAATTATTCCAATTTTTCTCACCTTTTAAACCTTTCCTGGACTTCCAGGAGTATTTCAAGACTAAAATTAGCCAAATCGGTTCAGCCGTTCTCGAGTTTCAGCGAGACTAAGGAACAGCAATCCATTTTTATATATATAGAAGATATGTCATGAACATTTAAAAAAAATTGCTTTGATATATCCTTTTTTATAAAACTAACCACTATTTGAGGCTTCATAACGGAAAGAAACGTTGAAAGTTTCTCAAAATATGAACAAACTAAGTTTTTCTTTCATTTTGCCCACGAAGCTTCTACAAATCAAGTTCGTTTAAACTATAAAATAGTAATGAAAAACTATAAAACTCTTACAAAATATTAGAAAAAGTAAACAATTATTTAAGATAAAACTTAGCTGCAAAAATTTACTTCAATAAATAGTGTAATGTCTTTTTACTTGGTTCATAAATATGAAAAAGCGAGAAGCCTAAATGTTACTATGTGAGTTTATTAGTTAAATTTGACTAATACACATTTAAAGATAAGGATTTTTTTAAATAATATTTCACTCTTTTCTGATGTATTTTAAGTTTGATTAGGTATATATAGATTTGACAAGACTCGTAGGTAATTGGCAACACTACTTCGGACTAAAATTGTGACCGTCGTATTAATAAATACCTATACGGCAACTGATTCAAAATTTATATTAATATCCTTGTTTAAGCAGTGGTTTTCATGTGTAGCTTTATTAAACGAACCATAGTTATGTATTTCTAAGAATATAACAGTCTTATTTCCCACAACTTTTAAAAAATAATGATGAATAATTTAATAAGATGTGGTTGGTTAAATGAAGACCCTATTTACATAAATTATCACGATTTAGAATGGGGTAGACCAGAGTATGATAGTATCCGCCTTTTTGAATTAATTTGCCTTGAAGGACAGCAGGCTGGCCTTTCATGGATAACAATTTTGAAAAAAAGGGACAGCTATCGCAAACTCTTTTGTAATTTTGATCCTCATGAAATTGTCAAGTTAAATTTAAATTATATTGAGTCTTTATATAATAATCCTGAAATTGTAAGGCATAAAGGTAAAATTCAATCAATAATTAATAATGCTCAATGCTTTATTAAAATGAAAAACAATGGAGAAGACTTCTCCAGGTTTATATGGAGTTCTGTGGATAATAAAACTATTGTTAATAATTGGAAAAATGAAAGGGATGTCCCGACACAAACAAAAGAATCTATTGCTCTTTCTAAATCATTAAAAAAGCTTGGATTTACATATGTGGGCCCAACAATATGTTATGCATTCATGCAAGCTTCTGGTTTAGTGAATGATCATGTTATTGATTGTTTCTGTAGGGAATCATTAGCATCCGAAAAACATACATGAGTTTTATAATAAGAAAAAGTAATATATATTTTGTAGGTAAAACCACAACTACTTTTACACATATTACTGTACTAAAATAAATGTTAAGAGATTTTTCTTTCTTTTATTTAATCATCAACTTCATAATCCTATTATAAGTGAAGACTATGACTATGGATTTAAAAGTAAATTCTGATTTAATGATTATTTTTATTTTTTGCTCCGAAGGTATTGAAACCTCTTTTTTTTACTGTAAAACATTGAATTATTTATTCTTTGAGCAGGCACTTATATTTACATTATTTTAAAATTCTTGCTTGAACTGACCAAACAAAAAGGTAAGTATCATATAATGGAAGGGAAATTAACATTTTATTATGCAAATGATATAATATTTTATTATGAAAATGAAAAGTAAAAGTAAAAAATAATGTCAAATTAAAAAAATTACCCAACATTGAATTGTTATCACCACAATTCAACATTATATGCCATAATTTACTATTCCACCTCTGAATAGATAATGTTTGGGGAATTATTATTGAATAGATAATGTTTGGGGAATTGGGTTTATATATACAGAAACAGAGTCAGCTGCCGTTCTAAACATGACTAAATGCTTTTTTTAAATATTGCTCTAGTTTCATATTAAACTTTATAAAACAATCAAGATAAAATTTTTCATCATAGGTATGATATTATATTTGCCAAAAACTCAACTTAAAAACCCAATTCTCAAATCAAAAAAAAATCCAAAAGGAGATATAACGGCAATTCGGCACAAAACTGTTCGTCCAACCGAAGGAAAAATTAATAACAAAAATATACGACCTTACTACGTATAAAGAGATTTCCTATGGATAATGATATTTGAATTTCAAATTAATATATCGATGCTACAAAAAACAAAATTTTGTAATAAAAAGTTTTAGAAGGGATACTTAAGCTATTTGATAATATATTATGACATCAGTTATCTTATTCGTCTTATATTACAATTTTTGAAAACTTTTTTTTGTAGACTTCTGAATATCATATTCTAAATGTTGTATTCTTAATTTCAAGGATATTATTTTATCAAAATTTCGAATTAACATTTATGTCTGGTATTTCTTATCTTTCACATTTTTAGTTTGACCTTATTTATATCATAAAAACCAAGAATCCAAGGCAGTAAGTTTGTATGTTAAGCCGACACTCAGTTGTCATTTCCTTTTCCACATTATTATTGACCGGCTCTAGTTGTGGTCGTCACCACCTTTACTCTTTAGTCAACTCAACTCACGTTTGGTCACATAACCTATCAACAAAGAAAGACTGCAAAATGGCTGAACCACGCGAAAGAACTTTCATCATGGTCAAACCAGACGGCGTACAAAGAGGACTCGTCGGCCAAATTATTGAAAGGTTCGAAAAGAAAGGTTTTAAGCTTGTAGGTCTTAAGTTTGTGTGGCCATCTGAAGAGCTTTTACAGAAGCACTACAGCGACCTGGCATCGCGACCATTCTTCCCTGGTCTTGTGAAATACATGAGTTCCGGGCCTGTTGTACCCATGGTATGGGAAGGACTCAACGTAGTGAAGACCGGTCGTCAAATGCTCGGAGCAACAAACCCAGCCGACTCTTTACCCGGTACCATTCGTGGAGATCTGTGCATCGAAGTCGGACGTAACATTATCCACGGCTCTGACAGTGTTGACTCAGCTAACAAGGAAATCAATCTCTGGTTCACTGAAAAGGAACTCGTTGGATGGAGCCCTGCTGCCGAAAACTGGATCTATGAATAAATTCTTTCCAATATTATTTAAGTGTCTCCAGTGATCAAATAAATCAAACACCAACAAGCTTGTTTTTCATTTTAATACTTTAAAAAAACTAGATTCAATTTATTAAAGAAAATTTACTATCTCCATTATTGTGATATAAAGCATATTAGACTAATTAACAAACACATGCTAACTGATTATATTTATGAGAAGCAGAGATATCTTTACCCTTCAATACTGGTAGGTTGGTTCATTAATTCTTAATAACTTCATAAAATTGTTGGAGGTAATGAAATAAAACCAAATATAGTTTGCTATTTTCTTTAACTATGTAAATGTCTAATTATTGATTAAAAAATTAGCCTACTTATTAACATTACTTTGATGCAATAGCTTTTCCAGATCAGCTGTACTTCATTTAACTTCAGATTGAACACAAACATAAAATTAAAACTTCATTTAAATGTATCCCGATCCTGTACAAATATATAAATAGATGTAATGAGTCTTGCTAAGGTTCTAATAATTAAATCACTTTAAAACTATTCTACCCACAATAGTTACACCCATACTATATTTACATCTGAGGAAACTGCTACAACAGTATTGATTTTTTATTATATCATAGCATGATATACTTCCCTAAATCCACAGCCAATAATAATCCTATTATTAATATATTACATCGCAGAAACAAACAGTCCCTGACAAAGCATGACTATACAAATGCATTTAATATACATAAAATACTAGATATACAAAAATAAATCTGTTCATATTTTGTATATATTATTGTATTGGCAGTGTCAATAGCTGTCTTTTGTGTATTAAAAATGTTTGCATATTTACAATTGTACAAGACATATTAAATACTGACACATCAACTGTAGACAGTTTTTATATGAACAGCTCATCTCTTAAACAATTATTATAATTATATTAAGAAGCCATAAATATTATGATTTATTAATTGCCATTAAGATGAACTTAGATGTTCTATTAAGTAACCTTTGTGATTGTTTATCTTTATCAACCAATGTATGTGGATGGTTAATAAATAGTTTAACTAAAACAATTATTAAACTCATAGAGTTTGTTCTGTACGATGTTCAACCTCCACGGTCGGTGTTGCTTGCTGTTCGTTGTTTGTCTGTTGCTGTGATTGCTCTTGCTGGGTGAGTTGTATTCTTGAAGGAAGAGGAGCTGTTTGACCTATGAAATAATATATAATAAGAAAAATATAGAAAGCATCCATACAAGGGTTATTAATTAAATAGTTATGTTTTTGTAATTCTTCAATACATTATTATATTTAATCATCTGATAATACTTAGGATTGATAGTTGTAAGTATCTTTACAATAAATTTAGCAAAATTCTTGCGATCTTTATACATATTTATAATTGAGTGTAGTCCTTTTTGTAGCATTTTTGTTTCTTGAGATTATAAAATTGATATTAATTATATAATTTCTAGTATTTTATAATTACCATATTTGTCGTGTATGCCTCTGTGTCGTTTCAAAGCGAAGCGGTCAGCGAAGGCAGCGGTACAAATGTCACATTTGAATGGCTTCTCACCGGAATGCACTTTGGCGTGGTTTTTAAGATGCGCGGCTTGACTGAACGCCGAGCCACACGTTTCGCATCTATAACAATACATTATTAAAACAATTTCTTTAAATATTTTAGCAAATAGATGTATTTCATGCATATACCTATACTTATTAACTATAGAAAACCCATATATCTTGTCTGTTTCATTTTTGTCATCTTAATACGAGAAATATAATAGAAAATAATTTATTGCCAAATTATAAGAAAAGCCACGTAACTTGATTATTTAGTAACAGCATAAAATCTATATTTATAAATAAAATGTCATTTTCTGTTAACGTAATATCAAGATACCTAATAGGTTTTTACTACGCATATAGAACTTTTAAATTGTGATTACATAAGGAATTAAAAGAATAAGGCTAAATTAACTAGCTAAAAATAATAACTAACTTGTATGGTTTCTCTCCCGTATGTATACGACGATGATTCCATAAAGTCGCGTGCCTGGCGAATCCTTTGTCACAAACCTATAAAGAGAATATCAAATTATACAAGGTTTCGCGTTATTAATCAATATTTCTTAATTAACAAACAACTTATATATTGTTTATGAAAATGTTTTCCTCCACTCACTTCACAGACATAAGGTTTCTCTCCAGAATGTGTTCTTTCATGGTTCTTCAAGTGTGGTGACTGTGAGAACTGCATTCCACATGTTTGACATCTACATATAACAAAATTATTAAAATTATCATATTAACCACGATTATTTCTCTATCAAGATTGTATTTTATTAATTAATAAGTTGTAACAAGTGCTCTACAAATGCGTCTTTTCATTTAAGTATAAAATCTATATAATCAATGATATATTGTTCTTATCGAAATTTAACTCATCTCACCTATAGGGCTTTTCACCAGTGTGTATTCTCGAGTGATTCTTGAGGTAAACGGCTTTCGCAAATGCAATCCCACATATCCCACATTTAAAGTTCTTTTCGCCAGAATGCAACTTCTTATGAGACCATAATGATGAATATCTTGAAAATGAACCACCGCAGATGTTACAATGGAATGGCTTATCTGCTATTGCTTGATTGTTTTTGCTTTTATCTCTTCCTCCGACAAACACTATCCCAGAACCGTTGCAGTTTTGACATTTCGTAACAGAAGCTAAATTTCTTTTTTTAACAGGATGATGACCCGGTACTAGAAATATGATATAAAAATTATTGTAACAATTACATATATAATAGAAAAACCATAGCAAACACAGGATTTGATATAAAGATTAATTGTAACAATTACATATATAATAGAACATCCATGGCAAGAACAGGTTAATTAAATTTTTAGATGCATACATTTCTACTACTCATTTGAAACATCAAATAGCTTGTTTATTATACATAGTAATAAACAAAAAATAATTCATTAGAAACTTGTTTATTTATTATTGTGAATAATATGGATAATTCAAATAATTCTCACATGGTTTCTGTTGTTGTTGATTGTTGGATGCATTTGATAATGGATCTCCAGGAGCTTGGACCCCACTAGCACCTCCCACTTCAAATTTAACATTATTTTCAGCTGCTACAAATATTTGAGTAGTATTTACTGGAAAAAGCACAAAAAAACTTGTTAAATTTAGTTGAGATAATAATACATTAGGTGTTCTGGTGTTCAATTAGCTTATATTTTTATAATAAATTTGTTATTGTAAAAAAATCACTCACATTGATTATTTCTTTGTTCTACCGAATCTTGTGCTATACAGTTTTCACATCGTATTAGCTTCGGACCTTTCCTTTTCGGATTATTTGTTATGGCACCTCCACATGTTATACATTTCTGGACTTTTTCTATTATTACCGGTTTAGCTGAAATTTAGGAAACGATAATGACAATAACTGATATAATATTAATTATTATGTATTTAGTATAAACACTCACTATCTTGTAATTGAACATGATGTTGTTGTTGAGTTTCGTTGGGATCTGTTGATAGTATTTGTATGTGGGGCGGCATACTGACATCATTCGCTGTACTGACACCAGTCGATACAACAACCACATTACTATCTGAAATATGATAAAAACATATTTTAATAATTTAAATATTATTGTACAAATATATTTATGCCATAAATAATATGATAAAATAATTCATTCATTTAATAAACATTGTAAATAATTAGAAATAGTATGTTATGTTACAAATATAAGAATAACCATATCATTTGTTTTTGTTGAGGATAATTTTTCGATTATAAAATTTTCATATAATCTTTTATTATACTTAATTTATATTATAATACTGATAGTAAATTAAATCACCTGAATCCTGTGTATGCATCCGTTTATGAGTAGTAAGTAAAGTGAGATGACCAAACATAAGTCCGCAGACGTCGCACTTGAAACTTATATTTGATATTGTATTCTGTAGTCCGTTTGGTGCGATTTGCATTTGATTTACTAGAGCATAATTATATGAGAAAGGCTGGGTTATGTAACATGTTTTATCATCACTGGTAGTGAGTTGGGCAATATTTACACCCCCTGTCCCAGCTGTAGCTCCAGAACCAATTTTACCTATCATATTTACATTGGTTGTATAACAAAATGTTGGGAACTCCTGGAAAATATATACAAATATAGTAAATCATGACTAAATATGTTTTTTAATAAATATTATTTATGTATTAATATAAAATTTGAATAATACCTGTTGGGTTTGCTGAGTCTGTTGTGTTTTTTGTTGAACATTTTCAATGTTTTTCCCTTGTGATTTCTGTGGATGTTCCTGGTATTGTAGTGTGGGCACTGAGCCGCCTTGCACGGTATTTGTGGTGAACATTGTGTAGTTTTTATTTCATTAATAGATTTAATTCATAATTTATTTTCATTTACAATAGTCTGTAAATAAAAATATAAACTTATATATACATCGTCCACATAATAAGAATTCGCTGGTAAATTTTAAAAGCGCGGCTAATTGTATACGCGAAAGAGAAACTCCCAAAACATACAGTGCGAAGGCAACGGGAAATATTTCTTATCAGTCTACTCTACTCGTGAAAAGATCATTCGTCCGATGAAAGCAGTGTCTCCGTGAATAGTGTCGATATAATGTAAGAAAAGGATGACGGACTATCTATAGACGCGCTTCAAGTAAACTAAGGACGCCATTGTTAGTTTCTTGTCGACTGTTTGGTAAATGACTAACCAAAATACTATAAGCTGACCACAAAACGCTGTTAAAACTACTAGCACATCCTCTTCTTGTACTTTGATGACTTCAGTTAAATATTTCCTTTATTTTATTCACTGAAACAAGTGGTTTGATTATATTATTTCTATCTCACTTTGAAATCTGAAATTCTCCATCTCACTGAATAAATGAAATGGCGATACAAATAAAATGGCGGCGAAAATTGCAATATAACAGAATATAAATGTAGAGATATAATTTTATTTTAAAAATAACAACCTTATCTTGTATTTAAAATAATATTCATTGAGAAAATAAAATAATAAATTCGTTATAATATGTATTATTAATTTAAAATTACTTTTAATCACATAATAATGTAGACAATGTTGCCATGGTATGTATTTTAATATTGCAATAAAGCAAACATTTTCAAAGTAAAGAATTTTAAAAATGTGTTTCTCTGAAGTATTAAAACGATATCATATAAATTCTTTTAATTTATTTTAAATATTTTAACTGAAAAGGGCACGAAATTTTTATAACGATGAAGATGGACATTTTACTAGCATAAATAGTTAGGCATTTACAGGACTGTAATTAAATGTGTTTTGTACTCTAATATTTTATTATATGACTTTTGAATGGAAATGAAATAAACTTGCCACCAAAATATTAATTTAATTGGGTGTACACTGTACAATTGAGAAAACATTTTGTTTAAAAGTACCACCGAAAAGATTGAAAATTTGATTTGAATTAGACGGTGGGGTTTATAGTATAAATGTTAAAATATAAAATAGAAGAAATAAAGTAGTCCATATACTTTCTATAATAAGCCTACTGTAAATATTTCAAAATTGTTAATAAGGTAAATAAAATTAATTAAAGGGAACTCATAGTAATACTCTTCTTAATGTTAATAGTCAATAGACAACATTTGAAATTTATCAAAATCTTACCATTCACACAACTCTGTGTTTTTATAATGCTGAAATAGTAATTTCCCCCATTTGTGATTGTTTTATTCACTTAATATTTAAACAATGTTTTCATTACCTTTAGTAATGCTTAAAAACAAGAACAGCAAAGCTAAGTTAAGCAACTAGAAAATTTGTAAATGACAGAGAATTAAAATTGCAGCAGTTAAAGTACTAACCAATAAGTCTTTATTAATCTATGTGAGATTATAATATGTGGTATGTCGGTGTAATTACAATAGAAGATAAGAAACAGAAGTTTTTTTCACCAATTTGATCACATACTATCATTGATGTTGGAAAGCTTTTTCTATTTAATGAATTATTAATGTTATAATAATAGAAAATATATGTACTAATTTCATTTTATTAACAAGTCTCAAATAAACCTACAATTAACATTTTGTTAATTGATCTTAATTTTGTTTGTTTCCCTTATAGATTTTAAAATCCAAGACTAAGAAAAAGCAATAGTTTCATCATCAATTGATTAAAAATGAGTGTTATTGAAACATTATTAATGTTAATAATTCACATTTTTGTTACTAATATTTTAACATTCAATAAAATAGTGACTAAAGAATTTCCAGATACAATTTATAATGGTTGCTTTTGGGATATAAGAAATAGAAATTTTATATCATTCTTTTATTTTGTTCTCCCACTCTTTTTTGAATATCTCTAGTGCTTCTTGAACAGAGTTAAAGGTAGCTGGCTTTATATCCTCGTTCTGTGTTTCGTCATTTACTACTTCACTTTGGTCTTGTCCTAGTAAAAATAAATATTAAAGTTATTAAATTTAATCCTCTTTAAACTCATAGTAAAATATAAAAATGATATTGCATACAAACTTGCCTTTATCTTCCTCTTTTGGTGTAACATAAGCATGTTCTACATTTATAAGTTTTCGCGTCTTGCATAAATATTTTAAATTTTTGGCTGGATATCTATCAAACAACGGATCTGGACTTTGAATAGTGGGATCTTCTTCAAAAAACATGTATGTACCCAGTGGATTTTCATATGTACCTGCAAAAAGGGATTAATATGATATATATAAACTAATATACATTAATTGAGAAGTAGTGGTTGTAGTATTGTACCCGTAAAAAATGTATCATCTAATTGAAAAACCGGACGTTTTGTATCCATCCCTAAAACATGAACAAATTTATATTTATTGAGGTTCACGCTATCTTCAAATTCAGCATAAACCAAAATTTCTTCCTCCGAGTCAGATTGAGTTTCATTGTCCATTGTATTTTTCAGTATAAAATTAACATTTACTTAAATATTTAAAAAATACAGTTGTGGTATATATTTCATAACAAACAAGTTGTATTCACATTGTGTCAATGTACGTAAGTTACGACATACGGTACAAGTTTGACAAGTATTTTGTTGGTACTGAATTGATTTTTTGATATGGCAACAATAACTAAGACCATTTTATTTATTATTTACATACATGTTATTTATACTCGGTGCAATTGATTAGATTTTATAAATAAGAAAATGTTTTCAAAAAAGGTTATAAAGAATGTAAACACCTACGAACTGGCATAACGATATATTCTGACAATATATTTTTTTTATATGGAACATACAACGTTTCTATGTAAACGAATTAAAAACAAAACAAATTATAAATAAAACTATTTTTATTGCATATCACATCCATGTTTCACAATCGCTGAAATTTGTAAACATTTTCGCGATGGTAACATCACATTAGAGAACATTCCAGACATGACCTACACAGTAGAAATAAATGCTTACATTTTTCACCATTATATCGAATATTTAACTGTATTTTTATATAAGAAAAATACCTTTAACAGCAAAAATGAGAAATATTATGCAATAAAGTATTCGGAGAAATCTTCGCCTCCTAGGGGATCCGCTATTCTTTTTTTCCACCAGGAGGCTGTAGCGGTTGGCCGCGATCTTTTCCTCTTAGTTTTATTCCAATCGCCCTTTCTATTTTACCAAGAACGATATTGTTTGGTATGCCACGACCGGCCTCGTAGTCATTTACGATCTGTGGTTTTTCACATATTTTTGTGGCCAAATCTTTTTGACTCATGCCTTTAGCTTGTCGTCCTTGCATTATAAGCTTTCCTAAATCAAGTGGTACTTTTTCATGTCTAAGCTCTTCTGTTTCTCTATCGAGTTTTGCAGTGTTTTTTGTTGTAACATGTTGTTTATTAGTCCCCGCACCGTATTTTTGTTGAGTGTCCACTGGTAAACCTTGACGACGTGCAGCATTAACGGCTTGTTCTGTCTTTAGTGCCGATGCCTTTGGTGGTTTCTTTCGAAGAATAGTCACTGTATCCCAATCAGACATAGTTAGAGAGATTATTTAAGTGTGATGAAATAACCAAAATTTTCACGACGTCCAAAGACTTATACGGTACGACGTGCAGTTGTATCCTAGATTATAAACAGTAAAGTAATCCTTATGTCAAAGTTTGATTTAAAAGTTCTATTTATGAGTTATCTATGATTCAAGTTGTTTTAATATGATGATTTTTATAAAATTATTTTTAAATAATTTAATATATTTTTATTGAACTCCGAATATTATAAAAATTCATTATAATATTTCATATAACAAATAGAAAGGTTTGTTAATATTTTGAAATAAATAGATTTATATTCCCACAGGTAGTCTTTTAAATTATAATTTATTTACTTGTTTCTGTAATCCATTTTATATTGACGTTCATATTTTATTTTCTCTTCTTACAATTTCTATTTTGCAAATTTTAATATTGACAATGACACCATTCACAATTGTCATTTAACTGAACGATGCACAGTAACTTGTTCCTTAAGTTTGAAAAAGTATAAAATTTTAAGTAGGTAGAATTTACATCTATAGCTTCCTTGCTTAGAACTGTTGTAACTTAAAGATGGCATTTTCATTCGGCTCTAATACAACCTCACAGAGTACAGGTTTCGGTTCAGCCGCTAAACGTATGTAATTTTAAAAAATATTTATTAATGAAAACTAATTTTTGGTCAATATTATTATCAGAGGTTTTCGTATATTGTTCACAGCGACTTTTTCATTCGGTAGCACTAACACAGCTACTACAAGTACTGCTGGTTTTGGAGGTTTTGGTACAGCGACGTCTGCTTCTGGTTTTGGAACATTTGGTGCACAAACATCTACTACAGGTATAAGCCGTGTACATTTAAGTATTAATATTATTTTTCTTATACCCACTACTAAGACTTTGGATACTATTCATTAAAATAAAACTAATATTTTCGGATTACTACGCGTATTTTATATTTTTAAAACCTATATAATCCTGACGTTTTGGGTACTTTGCAGCAACCATGTCCACGGGCAGACGAGATATAGTTTTTAAAAATAAAAAAGTATGTATAGTAATTAAAAAATATTAGTTTTATCATTTTGTTTTTCCCAAGTTACCACCTGGCCCTGACATATTACAAGAAAGTAGATCATTTATAATGTTTCGTTCATCAATTATGTTTTGTATATAATATTGGGGAGTGAGAAAAATTACTTTAATTATAAATAATTCTATTTGCAGCAACTCCTTTTGGCGGTATAGGCACAGCTACAACAACTGCACCATCACTTTTCAGTGGAACTGGCTTTGGAGCCACTGCAGCAAAACCGGCAACCGGTATATATATATTTTTATTTATACTATCCTATTATCTTAATACCTTTTTATATCATTAATATTTATTTATATACTCTTTATTGCACACCAATATAGGCCAAAATAATAGGAGTAAAACAAAGAAAAGTATAATGTACAATAGGTGGCCTTATCGCTAAAACAGGGATCTCTTCCAGGCAACCAGGCAATAATTATATGGTTTTTGTTAAAGGATTTGGCGGTGGTTTCGGAACATCAACTTTTGGTACTGGAACTGGATTTGGTACTGGGACATCAACATTTGGAAACACAGCTCCAGCATTTGGCACAAATACATTAGGAAGCAATGCCTTTGGGACAGGATCAACATTCGGCACATCCTTTGGTTCGAAACCCAGTACTGGTTTTGGTGGATTTGGTACTCTCGGCACCAACACCTTTGGACAGCAGCAGGTTGGTAAAATAACTCATATATTTAAGGTAATAAGTAAATAGTTTTACCTCAACAGAAATTATTAGTGTACTTAAATATTATAAGATTTCATAATTAATATAATGAGGCAGTTGTTAAAATGTACTAAGAGCCAATATTTAAACAAGCTACCTTTACTTGCATTTAGTTCCTATATGTCATAGTTAAGTTGAGAAATAGCTATTTTAGCATTTGAACTATAACATAAAATATTTGCAGCAACAGCAACAGCAACAGCAAGGACCAACAAATGCCAATGAAGCACTCGTGGCAGCTGTCTTCAACTGTTGTGTGTTTGGTGATGAACGAGATCAAGTCTTGGCTAAGTGGAACCTCTTACAAGCACAGTGGGGTACAGGTATGTGAATGAAATAATATTTTTTATAATATATAGTATTAAATTTATAGTTAATACATAAAATTAAAAAAGTAGAATAAAATCTGTATGTATGTTATAAAATTCAAGGGTTACTTCATTGAAATAGCATTCTATTATAAAAAAAATAACATTATCTGTGTTACAATATAAGTTAGTGGTGGCTTAGTGGTTAAAAGGCATGCCTCTCTTGCATGAGTGCGGGTTCGATCCTGGCAAGTAGCAATGTGATTTTTTCGAGTCATATGTACTTTCTAAGAGTATTTAGACATCACTGATTAATGCATTTCCAAAGAGGGTTGATGACAGGCAGGCGGCCGGTCGTAAAAACTAAAAACATTTAGCCATAACTATTCACAACATGTAAGGCAGACCCTGGCTAAAGCTGGGAAATAGCCAGGTAGAAGAAGAAGATTATCTGTAATATATTAATTTGTATTTAATTTGTAAATAATTTCCAGGTCAAGCCTACTATAGTCGTAATGCACCACCACTTGAATTGAATGAACAGAATCCTCTTTGTCGTTTCAAAGCTGTTGGTTATTCTAAAATCGGTGGCAAGGAGGATAAAGAAGGTCATGTCGCATTACTCTTCAATAAAACTGAACAGGAAATTAAGTATGTTGCATCAAATATACTATTTTTAAAATTTTTCATATAATAATAGTTATTCTAATTTATTTTTAGGAATAATCAACAAACCCTCTCCACATCGTTGGCTGGTTTGCTTGGTAATAAACCAAATTTAGCCATCAATATTGAATCTACAAAGGCTGTATCAGATACTAAAACCCAGGTAAATGTTGTGAAAGCATGTTTATCAATGATATTTTTTCATTTATCTTATACAAAAAGTTCCTTGACATTTTCATAAGTATTATTTCAAGACTGTAGCTTAACCTATTAATTAATTAGCGTATTAATTATACAAATGAAATTAAAACAGAAATGTTTACAAATTATATATATTTTAGACATTAACAATAAAAATTGGTATCCTTATACCAATTGTATTATGTAATACCTTTATTGTATATCTCAGTCTTTATTTTTCTACAGCCACGGGCAAAAGTATTAGGCACCCTACAGTAAGACAAGTTTTAGGGTGTTTTAGCATAGCGAGTGTAAATAAAACTGCATTTATGATTACAATGGTTTATTTTAAGAAAATAATTAATATTTTGTAGGTCCACCTTTTGACTTAATAACCGCAGCCACTCTTTTTGGCATTGACTCTACCAGCCTGAAACATTCTTCTCTTGATATATTTTTCCATTCCTGCTGTAACGCGGCCAATAGAGCTTGTTTATTGCTAATCGAGTGCCTGCGGATATTTTTCTTTAAAATGGACCAAATATGCTCAATCGGGTTGAGGTCTGGTGATTGTGGTGGCCAGTCCAAAAGATCAATATGATTTTCAGCAAACCACTTCATGGTATGCGCGGACTTGTGGCAAGTGGCGTTGTCTTGCTGAAATTTCAGGCCATCGGTGTTTGTATCACCGAAAATTTGCGTTATCGACGTTGCTAGTGCTGTTTCCAGAACTTCAGTGTATTTAACACTATTCATTCGTCCCTCACACAACACCATTTCGCCCACTCCGTCGGCAGCCATGCAGCCCCAGATCATTATTGAGCCTCCACCATGCTTAACAGTGGGAACCACACATTCTGGGTTGTATTCTTCGCCAACCCTTCGCCTAACATAAGTCACACCGGGTGTTCCAAACACCTATGCCAAACGAAAAAAAACACATTTATTTTCAAAGTTATTATTTTTCTTGCAGTACGTTATTTAAGAAACATTTATGTGTTTTTATATTGTACATAAAATAAATAACAATACCTCAAAGTTAGATTCGTCTGACCACAGTATGTTGGACCAATCTTCCACTGACCAATCTCTATGTTTGAGTGCCCACTCCAACCGATTTTTCTTATTGTGTTCTGACAGCCACGGCTTCTTCCTTGCTTTACATCCTTTTAATCCAGCTTTAAGAAGTCTTCTTCTCACAGTATAAACACTCACTGAGCTGCCTTTTGACTCAGATAATGCTGCAGCGAGCTCTAAAGCAGTTTTTTTTCCTGTTTTGTAGAGACCTCCTAATCAACAATCGATCTTCCCGTTCAGTGGTAACTTTTCTTCTGCCTGTTCTTGGTCTATTTTCATGGGTGCCAGTCTCTTTGAAGCGATTTATAGCATATTGAACTGCACATCGCGAGCACTTCACTTCTCGGGCTATTTTAACCTGAGACATGCCTTGTTCATGTAAAATCTTAATTCTTAGACGCTGTTCAGCACTAAGTTCAGATTTTTTCGGCATGATTAACACGTTAAATGTTAGTCTTTAGAATTGTGATAGGAATAGTTGCGTAGAAGACGTGTATGTTCACTGCAAGCACTGATAACACACTATAACCCGAAACGCAAAAAAAGCAAATTCGAAGAAACACCGCTTAGGAGCACACCTGGATGTCATAAATATTTTCTTTTATCTTAATTTGGTTAAAAATTGCCGCTAATACAATAGCTAAACCATAAAACACACACTTGACCGCAATATAATGAGATAGTGACTAACAATAGGGGTGCCTAATACTTTTGCACGCAGCTGTAATATTTTTAATAAGATCTGCAAAATTTATTCCAGGTGATCATATATGTGGTTGACAAGGGGGCAAATGGAGTACACATCAGCGCAACGGAATTGGCGGCATTCCTTAACAACGGCGCTGCTAAGAATGCTCTCAATACAGCTGGATGTTCAAGCATAACTCCTGTCACAAGACCAACTCCGCAGATGTTAGATCAGTATCTACAAACACCTCCACCAGGTATGCTAATTACTATATAATAATACTAGCTGCGCCCCGCGGTGTTACCGGCGGATTTCCGTTATGTAAAGTACCCTATGTGTTATTCCTGGATGTCAGCTTCCTGTATACAAAATTTTATCAAAATAGGTTCAGCCGTTTGAGCGTGAAGAAGTAACAAACATACACACAAACTTTCGCAATTATAATATTAAGTAGGATATAACTTTATATATAAAAGAAAGTTGGGTCAGTTAAACTGTTTATAACTCAAGAATGGCTGTACAATTGGAAATTTGTGAAGATAGCTTAAAACCAGGAAAAAAAAAGGATATATTTCATACGATCGAAAAAGAAAACAAAAATAAATTGATAATTTTTTTTTTTTAATTATTGCCTTTAAGGAGGAATATAGGTCGCCCGATCAGCTGTTACAACATTTCTAATTCTGATACTAATGCAGACAAAGTTGTGATCAAAAACTATTGTTTATATACATACTAGAAGACCCGGCGAACTTCGTATCGCCCTATAATCAAGAAATATCTGTTACGTTTTTTTAATAAATAAAGTTAGGTTATAGCTTAGCCTCAGAAACACGGAGTGGTTATGCTATTATGTATTAAATAGTCGCTCATATATGACGTTTGTATTTTTAACATAGCGCCATCTATTGAATACTTAACTCAGTCAACAGATAATTGTAATAATGACAAATAATTTTCTTTAATAGACAAATAATTTGCAATAAAATAATATTGTGACTATAAATTGAGATGTAAGCTATCCTATCTTTCAAGTTGGATCAAAATGCACACGGAATGCAAATCAAATTTAAAATCGGTTGAGTAGTTTCGGAGTACATCGCGGACAAACACTTGTCACGAAAACTTTATACAGGGTGACTGGTGAATTACTATCAACACTTTAGGACGTGATATTTGACGATCATATATGACAAAATAAAAATTAATATAACATAAATATTAATAAACTTCTAAGTAAAATTAACCAAAAGTTATGTAATTAATTACGCATCGTGTGAACACCCTACAGATTAGGTATACAAACATACATACATAGGCGTGCGGCGGCGTGGTGTTGTATCAGCACGCCGCCACACGCGTCCACACTTGGAACACTTGGAACATGTCCACACTTTATTTATTTATACGGAAATTTGGTCAAAAATGAAGTACCTATTTTTTTTACATAATTCGAATGAGAATCATGTACCAAGTATTCTCCTTAAATATTGATAGTAATTCACCAGTCACCCTGTATAAAGATATAGTCCTTTAATGTTCTTGTAGATAAACTCCGTAGTGACTGTACATGGCTAGCATAGCAACAAGCACATGACTGTATGAAAGTAGATATTTTATAAATATACCAATACATATAAACATTTATGTATTTACAATTACAACATTAAAAAAATTTTATGCATGGGTTTCTTAAATATTTATTTAAAGTCATACACACATTAAATTTAATAGCTTATTTAGATTTTTGGTCAGTTTAGGGTAGTAGTGCTTTTTTAGATATAGATAAAATCTCACACAATATTATATATTCGATACATATAAGAATGATATAAAGGATTTATTTATACATCAGATATATCCCCAGATATAACTACTGTACTAAAAAAGTTCATATTAGGACCTGTTTATAGTCAGCACACTAAAATCAAGATTTTTCTTTTCAGGAATGGACATGCGTCTTTGGAAGCAAGCACAAGCAGACAACCCTGATCCGGAAAACTACATACCTGTTCCTATCATTGGTTTCTCAGAGGTTTTTATGTTATTTTAAAAATATATCAATCTTTTTGCTAAAATATAAAAAGAGAGTGTAACAAAAGAAAATTATATCATAACTAATAATTTAAATGAAACTAATATTTTTCCGATATACTACGCGCCTATTTTTGTAAAAAACTACATACTCGCGACGTTTTGGCTACTTTTCAGTAATCGTGAGCACGGCCAGACGAGATCGTCTTTTATGTTTGTTACTTCTTTACGCTTAAACTACTGAACCGATTTTGATAAAATTTTGTATACAGGAAGCTGACATCCAGGAATAACACATAGGCTACTTTACATTCCGAAAATCCCGGAAATCCGCGGGGAGCAGCTAGTCACTAATAATGTATATTCTATAGGATTAAATTAATAAGAATATTTTCCACAGATAAAGTTCAGATCCCGTGCTCAAGGCGAGGAGGCTGCTTTACAAGCTCGTTGGTTGAAGCGTGCTGGAGAGACACTTGGAGAATTACGCACACGACGAGCGGCAGCAGCAGCAGCCCTGGCTCGCTCTGCGGCAACCCTACACTCATTAAAACATACATTGCTGCAGGTATATTGATATTATTATCTATATACATAATATTTATATAGCAAAAGTAGTCTATGTTATTCCTCAATATATCAGCTATCTCCCAGTTCAATTCGTGTCCAAAGTAGTCAAGACATTTAAGAGATTAGCTGGAACAAACATATAGACTGAAAAAATTATAATTTTTATGTTTGTACTACAAAAATATCCAGATGCGAGTATTAAAAGATGGTGATTTAAATATTATAAACAAATACAAGAATATTTCTTATTTGTTTATGATAACGCATATTAAGAGCTGGAATTTCAGCATTGATGAAAATAAATGTAAAGTATTTTTGGTAAAAATCTAAATTGGTTTAAATTAATACTTCCTTGAGCGACTTTGTAAGCTACCGGTATTTGTTTGCAACCTGCATGAATTCTCAAGAAACTTCAGCAGCAATAATATCAGTAGTAAATAAGATCTTCATTATTATTATTCCTAAATTTCTACTTTTACTAGTTTGAATCTATTAACTAAATACATGGTGTTTGATGTTTTTCATTCATAAATCACTACATATAACAGTATCATCCTTTTCAAAGAATGAGAAAAAATTTATCACTTTCTTCCGATCCAAGGGACTGAACGGAAATCTGTTAATCAAGGGCTACAATGATGAAAGTATAGTGGTATACTCTAGAAATAAATTGTAAAGCATTTATTTAGTACATTTATTATATAAAATTATGTATTTCTAGGTGATAGCTCGTCAGGAGGTGGCAGGTCGTGTGGGAATACCGTTGAGTCCTGAGGAGGAAGCGGCTCGGGCTCGTCTTCAGGAGCTAGCATCACAACTGGCTGCGCCACCACTGTATAATGTGAGTACATAACATACAAATATATAAGCACCGTGTATATATAAATATACATGTATAAAAGTACCTAAATATATCATAGGTTATACTACAATTTTGTTTATGTGATGTATAAGTAATTGTAAAGTATTTTTCTTCTAAAAAATATCTGCTGTTTATATCAAAATTGCTCGGCTGGGGATTGAAACTGGGTGATGTTAGAAAACTACTTTTTTAAACTTACTATACTGACTATATGTTATAGACATGTACATGATATATGTATTAGGAAATATACAGGGTGACTGGTGAATTACTATCGATATTTAAGGAGAATACTCAGTACATGATTCTCATTCGAATTATGTAAAAAAAATAGGTACTTAATTTTTGACCAAATTTCCGTATAAATAAATAAAGCGTGGACACGTTCCAAGTGTCCCAAGTGTGGACGCGTGCGGCGGCGTGCTGATACAACACCACGCCGCCGCGCGTGAATGTGAGTTTGTGTGTGTATACCTAATCTGTAGGGTGTCCACACGATGCGTAATTAATTACATAACTTTTGGTTAACTTTACTTAGAAGTTTATTAATATTTATGTTATATTAATTTTTATTTTGTCATATATGATCGTCAAATATCACGTCCTCAAGTATCGATAGTAATTCACCAGTCACCCTGTATAGTTATAGTATAGTTCACAAAGTATACAAAAGCCTTAGTTCCATTTAAAAATATTAGATATCATTAATATATAGTGAACATACATATGTCTGTAATGTATTAAAGATTGACTCTAGACGTTCTAAATGATTTATTAAATATATTTATTTCTTTTTAAATAATTTTCATAACTATCCATTTAAATTGCACAACCTTTTAGGTGCCATCATTACTTGTTAATGACGTCATATGTATAGTGATGATTTTGTTTAAAGTTGGTTATAACTAATAATAATTGGATTTAATTATCCGATGTTTATTGTCCGTATATACAAGGGATTTGTTAGAATTATACAGCAGTTTCTTTATCACGTGTAATCTGATATATAGTTCAATTAGTTGGACTTCAAATTACAATGATAGTGTATTATTGATCGTTTTTTTTATATTTGTACACTCGTCCGCATCGTGCTCCGTTATCGCGATAAGAATCTGTTATCTCCAGACGAGCGTTTAGACGATCGTTTTGATTACCACGAGTTTGCAAACTCATACTACATATGAAAATTTGTGAATTTCTCTCTACGTGAATGCTGTAATATGAGATGATTTTTGTATGAAATACTTTCAATGTGTAAGTAATGTCACTTTTCGAACTTGTGGTACGCTTTTAGTATAGATCAAGAAATTTATGAGAGATTGTAATGACGTACTATAAAGGATATTAAGATTAGTTCACACAAAGGTATCTTAATACTATAATGTTAGGGCTGAAGAACGTGTGGCATCGCTTTATCTTTGTGTCTGGTTAGAACCGGTTCGTGTAATACTGTTATGAGTAATACCATGATTGATGCACCAGCTTAAGTAAATATTATATAAAAATACTTAAAATTTATGTTTTGATTTATATTATTGTTTTTTCTTAAGATTTCAATGTATCTGAAACACTTCTCTTATTTTATTGTCGTATAAATAAAGGGGTTTATGATTATATGTTTAATTAACTTTAACTAGCGACTTCGAAATAGTCAGAAAAAATTTAAAGGTTTTGAAAACAATTAATATGGTCACTCGTCGGTAGTGACATCTATATGACTATAGATGTCACTACTTTGAGGTAACTTATACAAACAATATTCATTTGCCGTAATCTCGGCTATGCTATGCTATCGGCATGGTGTTCCGGGATAAATTATAGCCCATGTCTTATTCCAATGTCTAAGCTGCATAGCCGTGAAGTTTCATCAAAATCTGTAAAGCAGGATTAGCGTGGAAGAGTAACAAACTTCAATAAATTCATATCTATAATAATCATTCTCACAAATTTACACATTTATAATATGTTTTTGTAGAACTTGCGACATTTTTAAAAGTGACAAGGAAATTACTTTATTAACTAATACAACGTTAAAGTTTTATTTTATTTATTTAATGTAGTTTTTTTTATTATAAAATATGTTTTTGTATTAAAAATTAATTTTTATCTGTCAGTTTACTTAACATAACATCTGAAAATAAACTTTGGTTACAATCTTTACTATGTATACAATAGAAGCGGATTTAAGTCGTAACTTTTTCGCAAAGGTTTTAGGAAATTTTGTGGATGCTTTTAACCAAATCAGCTTATATTTAAAATTAAATTTCAAAGTATATGAACAGAACCATTAACTTGATTTAAATTTGTTTTCATTACTTTGCATCTTTTAAACTTTTGGTGGCTAAAAATGTTTGGTGCTTCATATCTAAAAAGAATTAAAGTTATTACAGGAAATCAAAAAGGTAAAACCACAGATAAAATAGTTTGTCTCCAATTGAATGACGGAAATTAAGTCACAAATACGTTTATTTTGTCTTGTTACTGACCTCATTGTGTTTTCCAAAAATGGCGATAAAATAAAAATGGTGGATAAGATAATTATTTATATCTTTCCATTCACTATTATGAAATCTATTATATTATAAATAGTTCACTATCAAACCAAGTTGAATTCTTAATACGCTTTTTCTTTAATTTCAAAAAGTAAAAAAATTAAGGTTTCTTATATGATTAATTATATTTGTAGGGTCGTTTGAATGAACTACTCTGCGCCGTTCGTCTACAGCGCAGCGCAAGCGCAGGAGCTCCTCTCGAAAGATATCAATTAGATCCAGGTGAGTTTATATGACTTATAAACATATATATATTACATCCATAGAAATTATTCAAAATAATACATTTTTTTTACTTATATTCAAAAGAAGTATTGTGTAGAATAATATGGCTTAATTCACTGTTTGAAAAATCAACAAAATTGTAATTAAATACGGCAAATACCTTACGTAAACCTTAAAAAAATCCATATAATGGAAATTATTTATATATATTATGTAATTAATGTGTAATCATTATGTTATCAGGTGCTCAAGAGGACGTGAAGCAATTCCTCTCTCTCCAGCAGAAGGGTATGGCTCATTTATTGGACACAGCTCGCAAGGACCTTTCGGCTCTTAACACTATTGCTGAAGGCATGGCTAGACTCGTGCGAGCTTAGCATAACCTTCACGACGACTATTCGACTAGATTTGTTGAATGGCTCGGCTAGTAGACCCTATTCGGTGGTGATAAAGACGATTTTTCAACGAACTATGTATAACAAACAAGTGCTTGGTAATCTAAGTGTTCCAAATATTCTATTCCATTACTAATAATACTTTTGAATATATGTAGTAAATCTTGTATGGAATATTTCAGCTTTTGTAATAATTGAAATAAAACTATGATAATATGGTTTTGTTTTATTTAATTAACTCTTAGTACTTAAATCTAACGGCAAGTCTGCGTGTTTGACTAGATCGTCGACTGGTTTGAATTCCAATCGTTTGCTACAAATTAAGTTTAAAGGTACATCTATTTGTTTTTCATTATCAACAACATGTATTTCCTCGATTGTTTCCTGTTCTTCGTATAATACTTTTTCATTGACATTCGGTCTTAAGGGTGAATAATTTAGGCCGTAAGGGTAAACATTACGGTAATGATCTTCGTAGAGGTGGTAGTCTGAATAGGGAATATCGTGGGGCGGGACTCTCATGGGAAAAACCCTTTCTAATGGTCGCATTGGAACTTGTTCTAACACTGGTAAATAACCTAAAGGAGCTCCTAACGCGGGATTTGAATACGGTAAATAGGAGTTATATGAGGATTTCGTTGGGGGAATACAATTTGGGATGTATATACGAGGGGAGGGCTGGCTGAAGCAATTGTTTTCCCGAAGCGGTGAAGAGCTATCAGAATTTGCTCTTTCTTCCGTCATTTCATGTTTCGGTAGGTCCTTATCGTTGACGAAGTGTTTGTAAGTCTTGACGTGTTTTCTTAAGCTAGACGGATCCGTGTACCGTTTGTTGCAGCCCGGTATTTTGCAGCAGTAAGGCTTATCCACGGTGTGAGTACGTGTATGTTTAAACCTGTCGCTGGAATTTGAATACGCTTTCCCGCATCCCTAAAGAAAAAGGTGTAAATTAATCAAATTGAACAATATATAATTTAGAAGATAACTATGAAGTGTTTTATAGAAAGTAATTACTTACCTCATAAGGGCAAACGTATGGTTTTTCCCCGGAATGTGAACGGAGATGTATTTTAAGATTTTCAGCTCTAGAAAAGCTTTTTTGACATTGATTGCATGTATGTGGACGTTCGTTTGTGTGAGTCCTTACGTGAACCAACATTTTGTACCTATAGATATAAAAGGAAACTATTAACAAGTTGTTAATCGATATAGTGCTATTGAAAATTTGCATAGTAATTACAAACCTGGCGTTAAAACCCCGTTGTGGTCTTGAACAACCCTTCCAGTTGCAATAGAATAATCCGTCTCTGTGTGCATGCGCGTGCACCCGCGCGATGTGTGCTGAAAGGCGAGGTATGCTCGCAAACCGCGCTATGCATCCTCGCCAACCGCATACACCGATACTGTCCATCGATTCTGTTACATGCTCTGGGGATGATCCACCAGATAGCTCATCATCCTCTTCCTGAACAAACAGAATGGTTATTATTTCACAGTTTTTAAAAACAAACAAATTGTCGCCTAATTTATTGAAAATATTAGCACCTGCGGGGGAATATGTTTGATTATAGTCGGTCTCGCGAAATAAGGAGCGAATCTCTCCGCAGGCATCCATCTAGACGTCCTGCACCCCTCGTTACGTATATCTGACCTCAAATGCGGAAACACTAACATTGTTATAATAATAAATATAATTTATTGTCACTAGTAGCCACTGCGCGGTCTCTACGCGTAGTGATGGCTCGTTCTCGCGTTGCCTACTTATAAATTGTCTCGTACTGATAAGAAGACGAATCCCCTGCGAACATGATTGACTAACACCTTAACAATAATAACGTCCTATTATCAGTTTCTGACCTCGTAATTATAGGGAACGTAAATATATTAAGTATTTTTGTAGTTTATTGTACGTGTCAAATTGTTTTAGTTTCGTCCGTCGAGAGAACGGTATGTAAGTAGCGTAGCTGTGTAGGAGCGCGTATCAGAAGCCGCCTGCCGCGGCTGCAGTCCAGTTATAACCAGTACGATAGGCCTCAGTTCAAAAGGTTACTGATATGAACGTGGTTCGTGTTTATGTGAAGCGACCTCTGTTAGTCGTTTGATTCAGTTGTCTACTCGGTATCCAATACGTTTTATTTTTATATCAAACTAACTTAATGATACTATATTTTGAATAACTTAGTTATTATTAGATAGAATTATTTTTTAAAGTTCACGTGAAAGATAAAAAAATTCCGAGTTTAATTTTACTAGGTACTCTGCGGAGTTAAAAAATTAGGTGTTACATAGGTTTTTGTTCTAATTGGTTATTCTGTTACTAAAAACATTATGTATATGTAAATATCTGCATTATTGCATTTATTTTGAAATTAAGGAAATTTGAATACAAAACTGACACTTTTATGTCAATGCTATCCTGACAACCAATTAAACCAATGATGTCATAAAAATTACAAATGAAATTTTAATTTATGTTTTAATAACAAATTAACTTAAAGGATTGAAGAAACATTAAATATATATTGATTCTAGGCTCGATTGTTATGCATATATATAGCTATGGCTGTCTCCTAATATTTGAACTAACATTTTTTCATGATAGTGTTAGTCTCATGTATCATGCTAATCACGTGAAAGATTCGTGAATTGTTAGAATGCAAGATTTGCGTGATAGACACTTGAAATTTTTACATCTGAATAAATATTTTATTTCGTTGAATTTATTTCATTGGACTTAAAGAATATTTAATACTACTGTTTTGGATCTGAGCATATACATATAAAGTTTTGTATATTTTTTTAAATAATATTTTAACATTTTGGAATTACTAGGTTCCTTAAATTTAACCTTATTATAGATTTTCGTATTAATAAAATTATAAAATTTTTGGTTATTAGTAGGTATACGAAATACGTTATTTTTAGTTCCTTATAGACTTTGGCATGGTATATCAGAATTATCTTTTATCTTATCAAGGTGAATCAAACAAGCGATTTTTCGGGAGTTCCATAGCTACACTATTATTGTGGATGTTTATTGTTTTGAAATTAAAATGTAGAATAACGACATTTAAAACCACATGTTTATATATATTTTTAAACGAAATTCATCTTCATTTCTTTACGTATAATCCTGAAGTCCTTAGATCTTCGTCTTATCAAAAAAAAAAAACGCTAAAGTAATGATTTCACAACATTTAATTGTCTTAGATATTTTCCACATTGTGATAACCATGACGCTGCATTTTCACGTGGCATAATATTGTTGACGTATAAGTACAATATTCGAGGTTTGGCATCATTTGTATTATCAGTTGCTCGCGTGTGTGCGTGTGTTGTGATACTGTTTACGTGTGTATGTGTGTGTGATTGCCGTCGGCCCCCTGCGGCCGGCTAGTGCGGCGGTTTGAACCGGTTCTCTTATCACCAGCCACTCGGTGTCACCGGTATATCGGAACATTACAAGAATTGAATAGCGCGAAAACAAATATATGATTTAATGTACAATAAATTCTCGAGTCGTAGATAGTTTATTGTTTTATATGTTTTATTCGCATTTTTTACTATAAAACATTGATCCTTTTTATACTTTGTGATATTGCTAATAATTATGTAATATAAATAAGGAACGTTTGGATTTATTTATATAAAAAATATATGGTCATGATCTTTAATAGTTTCGAGATAATCGCCATATTGTTTTATATATAATGTATTTGGTATAGCAATGGTAATTTAGAGCGGTAATCTGGTTATGAAATGCATCTGTTGTCGTTAGATATTGCAATAGATGCTGTACAGCGACTTGGTAGCGAGGCGGCGCGGGGGTCAGATCGAACTAGTTAGGAGTTATCATTCTAACAAGTCAACACTACTGAGACTGTATTTCATCATAAATAAGAGTCCAAGTTGTTTAATAAGTAAATATTTAGCTCGTGGATGTAAATCACTTGTAACGATTTCACTATCGACATATCAGACAACGGTTTACGTAATATTATGCTTGTTGCCCATACAATATAAACAAAGCAAGCACTTAAAAGGGCCTATAGCTATATTTTTGTAAGAAGTTTGTATAGGAATGAAAATTTTGAAGGGGAAAATGCATCGTATACAGTGAGGGCATGCAAACTCGTACTATGCAGAGTTCACCGCTATTTTATCCGTTTCTTTTAAAATAGTATCTATCTACGTACATTGCGTCCTTAACCTGTAATCTGCAATTTTTTAACTCTTTGTGTATCATCGTCTTGTTTCGTGAATATAAGTTGGGAATGGGGGATTTTTATCATCTACAAAATTACACCGTTACATTTAAAACTCATTACAAATGATGGATGCTTTCAATGTCCAGATTTATGAGATATGTAATTAATTACATAATGAAAATCACGAATAAATTGTCGAAGTATTATTATGAGATGATTTGTTTGTCGAGTAAGTAAGACTCATCTGGTTCCCAGCACTTTTTCTGCGGCTTAATAGGGTAAACTTTAGTTCGATTATTAAGTAACAATAAAAAGAAAAAAATATGTATGTTTATACCTAAATTTAAAGTTGAATAACTTATTTGATGGAATAAAACTTAATGATTATAGTTTTATGACCATAATGGTTTTTTTTATCGATATCTTCTAAACGAGGATGACGATCACATTTAGGTACTTTTAAGTCCTTGATAATACGAAAGTGACTTTGTCATTTTTAATGTCAATTTGTAAGTAATATGTACTTAAAGTGATAACTACCTGGCTTTATATATATTATCTATATGAAAACTAAAGAAATATCGTCTTAAATTTCATTTTAAATTCTAGACTTTCGTTTCAAATGTAAGATTTAATTATCAAAACATCATCTTGATCTAATTTTCCTATGAATTAGAGAATTTGTGACATTCTTTTGGTTACAAGTCCGGTCTTAAGGGCTAAGTAAAAAAGTCAGTTACTATGCAATCTACATATATCTTAAATCGACCTAATGGAACAACTTTTTTTGTGGTCTTTGGCCCGAGGAGCCCATAATGATGCTGTTATTTAAAAAATATGTCTCTTCTGATTCTTATTCTTGTACGAGTAATTTTATTCCGTCTTGACATTTAGTATGTATATAATAATGATTCGCAAGTTTTTTTTGTAATAAAAGCAGGAAGCCAGTGTTGGTATTACGAAATAAGTGGCCTTTATAGTTAAAACTGGAAGTGTAGATGAATTTCTTTAGTCTCATTTTATACCTCTGAAAGTAAAGGTACCAGGAAAGGCAACCGTTATTGTTTAGTTTAAAAGTCTACGATCAGATCCTATTACTTAACAAGAAAAAAAGATATATACATTTTTCAGGGTAAAAGACCTTGCGGAATCTTTCAATATAATAAATTTGGATTCACCTACAGGATAATTTATTTAGACTGGAGATTCTATGATAAGATCAAAGTTTATTGAAATTCTAATTGATTTTTCTGATGGATTTAAAGTGTAAAGCATAAGTACATTTAACGTGGCGAATAAAGTTCACTATTCTTAGTTTGGAGGAAGATAAGAAATTGTCGCTGAATTATATTTGAATAGAATAAATTATATGGTACCTTGAGATGACTTTGCTGAAAATAAAAAAGAAAATTCTTAAACAAGCATAAATAGCATTAACTTTTATTTAAATTATTTAAGTCTATATTTGTTTTAGTTTAAATATTTCGTTGTTTGCATTCAGTTCAAAATTACTTATCACAGTAACAAAGGCTATTCACACTAGTGGCCATCGTTTCTAAGTGATAAATCTCCTTAAAACATTCGAAAGAGATTAGATTGAGGGTACTTTAATATTTTTTTTTTCGGATCGATGCTAACAATCGCCTACATACATCCTAGCACGCAAAACCGTCTGGCTATCACGTTGATAGAGCATTGTGACAAGAGATAATCCAAGACTATAGACCGATTCACGCCTCGATTGCGTGACAAATTCGTGATGAATGGGTTTACCTAATACCTAACATGATGACAGGTATCTTCCATTACAATATTTAAATTTATAAGTACGATAAAATTTATGATAAAATTACATAAATATAATCTATATGTTGTATTGTTGTGACATTTATTTTATTTTTAAAGTCACAGTTAGATATAAAAGGTGAGTACATATATATACACATATAAAATATATTTGTACGTATATACATATATTAATTATATTAACAGGATACTATAAGGACTAATGTCTTATACTTTTTACGGTTTATTTGTTACGAAGAAACTAGATTTTAATTTAAAATAAAGGAAAAGAGCTCGACTATCATTCTACCTGATGATTTAAGGAAATGAAAGATAAAATAATAAACGCATCACTATACAAATTATGAGGAAATCAAAACAAATATTTCCAAGCAGTTAATTGATTCCAAGATAAGTGAGTGAGTTAATGAGTGTTAGGTATATTCGTCATGCTTTCTATCCTAAGTTTACACGAAAAACTGACCATTAACTACACCTTATTCATTAAACAACTACAGTCAAGAACCTTATAGTAGAAAATAGCAACATGGAGGACTTACCATTTTGCTTAAATCCTTTTGTCCGGTTGTGGTCAAATTGGAATTTGCAGCACTTACAGCGTTGGCAATCGATCAGCCACTGATGTTTGCTTTCCCGCCAAAAGATCATAGGGATAATGGA